AATTATATGCTGATGAGTCCTTCCTGAGGTCAGTGAGTCTTAAAACATAATCAGTTTTGTCTGGGGGGGGGGTTCTGCTCCTTTAATCCAAGCATAGGAAACCTGTGGTTCTGTCGGAAACTCCTGTCAACCCCATCTAGCATAGCCTATATCAGAGATGCTGGAAATTGTACTCTTGAGTACCATTTTTGGTAGAAAAGTGTGGTAGCAGGCAAAAGTTTCACCACCATCTGGATAGCTGCATGTTTTCCACTGCTTCTTTTAACCCATCATGGGTCCATGGAAACAGCTCTTTATGTATGAATATCCCAAGGTTCTAGTACTAGCCATAGAGGCACTGCTTCAATTTCAACTTTATCTGGAAGCAAGATTAGCTTTTCAAGAAGCAGCATTTATTTGATTGTAGCCACAGAGCACTGGAGTGTCCCTCACTTATTTCCTTTTTTAGTGTCATGTTATATTCAAGTGAAGACCATACTGCTCCCCTCTGCTTCTGGAATTTTGACTCTTTTTATTATGATTTTTATTTATTTTGCTTGTTTGCTAATATTTTTATGGCAACCTTAGTAATTCCAGATTGCTGTTTCTTCGGTATTTGCCTTTTAATTGTACACATTTGTGCACCACTTCAAGACCATAACACTGAGAAGTAGTATATAAATTTCATTAATAAGTAAACATGCACCAAACCTAGCTTTACCACCTTTTCAGCATTTCTCTTCTTCACCCCTTCAGCCTGTTCTGTTGCTGAAGTTCTGGATAAATTACTGGCATTAAATGTGTTTAAGTCCATCAGTAATACCCATACATGAAAGTAAGCTCCTTTTGAAATCTGTGGGACTCCTGACATGTACATTTTGTGTCAGGATATAATATTTTCAGTTCTCAGTCATGCTGTAAAATCAGTGTGTTTTGCGGTTTGGGCAAACTGTTGTATAATGATGAATCACTTGATCTTTAAAAGTATAAACTGTGTTGGAAGACATACAGGTGGTTGCGTGATACTCCTCTTGTGCAAAAATAGTATCTTTCAAAGGCAAAGAACAAGGCCAAGCAGTTACATATAGCAGCACGGAGAAAGCAGGTATTTACTCTTCTTGCACAGGGGGGTGAGGGGCATCTGGAACTTCACCCTTCCAGGTGTTGCTAGACTCACCACTCCCATTATCCTTGGCCATTGGCCATCCTGTCTGGAGCTCATATGAACTTTAGTACAACAACATCTGGAGGACTGTAGCCTTTCCACCCTGTTTTATAGCTTGTCTATGAAATATCCATAGATATTTGGATAGCCAGTCACATTGTCATTACTTTCAATGAAAAACAGAAGGGTCCTGCTGGGGCCCAACTATTGCTTGTAATGAAGAGCAGCATCTTTCATGCAAGTTTGTACTTGGTCTCCTTTATTTGCTTGTACCATGGCCCATCCTGAGGACTAAGAGTGTATTAACAAGGATCCTCAAAGCAACACAGAAAAAGTAGAGTTTGTTGGAATAAACTTCTTCCACAATGCTAGCTACCAAAGTTAGCATAAAATAGGATTTATGCTTCTTTCATAAATATAGCTGTTCACTTTTCAATGTAGAGTATCTTTTCTAGCCTCTCTAAAAGCAGGGTGGATTGTTTTTAGTGTCATGTTCTGGTTTTTGTTAAAAATGCATAGGTATAGTTAACTAAATAGGTTACTAGATAGTAAGAGGGGACACACGAAAACCAGAAGTAGAGCTCTGTAATGAGACTGCAAAAAACATGCATCAAAGTGCCAATAATAAACGCATTTCAGGAAAAAGAGTTTGTTCAGGGGCAATCTTAACCATCTAAAATCTAGGGACAGATTAAATCAACTTGAAAAGAGAGTGGCTGTCTCTTGGCTATGTTCTGACCTTTTTGTGCGCCCCCCTCCCCTCTCTGAATTTCAGGCATTTATATTTATAGCACTTATATTTATATAGATAATGTATGTTTTGTTTTGCTGTTTCTCTGCTGTTTAGCTGTTTAGCACCTGTGTGCAGAAGTCTAAGAAAGGTATGGGAAAATAATTCACTTCCATGCTGTTGCCTTATTTTTCAAGGAAGAGTAAGAAAAATAAGAGCAGCTGTTTGGCATCCTGTAGGGAGGCGCTACTCTGAAGCGATAAGTGTCGTGTTAGTGTCCTCTGGTGGCTAGATTTTCTCACTACAAGCAACACCAAATAAATATGCTTCAGTATGCCTTACCTGGTCAAAGTTATAAGAATCTGTCGGTCATACCTGTCTTCTCCTGCCATATGCAAGAGCAGGCACAAACAAAGGATAGATTGTGATCTACTGGTAAATAGCTAGATATTTTTTCTAGATCAGCAAGGGTTTCTGATGCCCAATTATTTAACAATCACCATAGTTAATTTGAAGAGATGTCTTTTTGTCTAACCCATGGACAAATTAGTTGTATATTTTTGAACTTCCATGGTCCATAGTAGTAATTGGGGGGGAGGGGCTTAAGGCTCCTGACAGATTTTACTCTGCAAGGAAAAGCAACAGTTTCTGTGCCCTTTTTGGCTTTGCCCTTCTCTCAGTCTCATTGTTCCCATCTTTGTTGTTGTTTAGCAAGGTCACATTCGACCCATCACTACCCTATGGACAACTCCATGCATTCCTATCCTAACCAATAATTATTCATATCACATATCTTTGACTTTCTGTAGCTCCACTGGACAGTGTTTGAGCTCTCTGTGAGCATCCCTAATTTGTAGTAAATCAGATGTAGGTTTGTACTTTTCTATGGAGCTTACATGTGGGGCTTCTTATGCACAGAAATACCAATTTTCTTATGTTCTATGCCCCTGCCAGCTCTTTTGCACTGGTTGTGCTTGGTAGATCCTAAAGATCTCTAAGTAATACATTCTGTAAATCTGAAGTTTGCCTTTTCCTCTAGGGAGCATACTCAGTTCATATGGATGAGCTGAGTCAGTGTGATATAGTAGTTATAGTAGCTGTCCCCAACCTAGTTTTGAACTTTAACTCCAATCAGCCCCAGGCAGCATGGCCAGTAGCCAGAAATGCTGGGAATATGGCCTGAAACACCTGGTGGTTACCAAATTGGTAAATAATGTGTTGCAGTGTCTGACTAGAATTTGGATGACAGAGGAGACAGGGACAAATTCCTCTTTCGGCTGGAGGAACAGCTCTGAGGAAGATGTTGTTTCTTGTTATTGTAGTCACCGTCTTCATAATCTGCATAATCCCAGAGAAGCCATTCCAGAGATGTGAAACTTCTTGAGAGAAAGGAAGTAATATTTCTCAATCCTAACCCATACCTCTGGAATCAGCTTGTATCAGGGGCTTGTTCAGCCCCTCCTTTTTAGATCTTTGTTCAGTGTCTTAGTATGTTATTATTTACCATACCATAGTATTGCAAGAGAATATGAATTCTTAACAGTTTGGTTTTTCTTTTATAAAGTCTGAATTTTCGAGCATGTTCTGGTTGTGTGAGTTACAGGTTATCTCAAAACTGCCGCCACATGGGACAGAAGGACATATGGGTTATCTCACCTGTGTTTCCATTTAAAACACACAACCCAATGGGGATTAGGTCTATGGAATTTGCTGTCAGTTTTTAATAAAGTTTGTAAATAGACTTCACCATTGGGAAATTCTGCCTCCACTGTAAAACTTAACTACTGCTACCAAAATAAACTGCACTCAGTAAAGGAAGTTCATTAGCCTAGTTCCTGTGGCATAGAGGTAGGACTGACACCATCACTAGAATTAACTTTTCAACTTGGAACAAAAATTAAGATGCTTCTAAAGGGAGATTATCTTGTTAGTTACTATTCATAATGAGAGTCTAAATTAGCTCTCAGTAACTTTTCCTTAAGATCAGATATGCCTAAAATCTGTTCCAACCATTTTTTCCAAATAGAAACAGATGCTATATACCAGGCTTCCTCTGCTTCTGCCTTGTCCTGTTTCTTCTGGCTTCTAAAATGATTTGTATATTTTAGGAACTATTTGCTGAAGTTCAGACATGAAATAGGAACCTGAAATATAATTTGGCCTACTCATAACATTATAATATTTGTTGTATCTTTTTAAAGTTTATTCAGACAATGACTGCAAATTTATTAACTGAATTTACTTTTAAATAATTCTATATTAGTGTAATTTTAGTAGCAAACCATAATGCAGTTTGTTCCTAAAGTAACAGAGTGCCTCTACATTTGTAAAAATCACTTTTAAAAATTACTGCAGATTTTTCATTCTTCCCCCAAATTTTTTTCTTCCCCAACTTCTTCTCACACATGCATATGTGTGCACACACACCCACACACTTTCTGTTCAGCATTTCTGGAACTACTACATTTCTGCCTACTGAGTGGTCAGAAAACAGCTGACAAGCAGGGAAAAGGGTTCAGGCAGAGCGCATGCTTATCCATGCACCTCCATTGTTGTACTCTTGGTTTTTTAGCCAATCTGATCTCCCCTATGATCTCTTCTCTTCGCCTCTTGTACTCCTCAGCTGCTTATTAAAAAATATCTGAGGAGGGCTTGCGTCTTGAACATTTTTTAAAAAATAACTAAATGTAAAGCCTTTTCTCATTGCCCCAATCTCACGCACTACACTGGCAGCCATTTAGTTTGCTTCCACTTTGTGGTCCTCCAATGGGCATTCAGGGAGTTCAAGGATCCTGAGAAGCATTGAGCATCTGAAACTGGTTGGCTGCATTTTCAAGTTAAAAGGGGTTAAGCAGCCTCCCACAAGCAACATCCAAATCTGTCTATGCCCCCTGCAAGCCCTTTGGGGAGCCTCAAGGATCAGACGGCAAAGGGGGTAATTTGTGAATGAACACACGTTTGGCCCTCCTCAGTTTTCATTCCCGCCACCTGATCCTGCCAACCTCACCCATATATATGAGGGGAATAGAAGATAGGTTGGGGATCCCTAGCCAATTGGTTCTTCTAAGCTGCCAAGACAGACAGTTGCCTAAACCGAAAGTTTTTGTCTGTTTTGTTTCCCATCAGGAAGGTGACATGGAAGGAGAAACGGTTGATGCTATTGGTGAAGAGTCTGAAACTTTCATTAAAGGTAAAGAAAGGAAGACCTATCAAAGGCGTCGAGAAGGTGGGCAGGAAGAGGATGCTTGCCCAATGCCACCCAACCAGACAGATGGGGCTGAAGTGGTACAAGATGTCAGTACTGGTGTCCAGATGGTCATGATGGAGCAACTAGATCCAACTTTGCTCCAGATGAAGACAGAAGTCATGGAGGGTGCTGTGCAACAGGAAGCTGAAGCTACTGTGGATGATACACAAATAATAACCCTGCAGGTTGTGAACATGGAAGAGCAACCTATAAATCTTGGTGAACTTCAGCTTGTCCAGGTGCCTGTCCCAGTATCTGTACCTGTTGCTACCACTTCTGTAGAGGAACTTCAGGGGGCTTATGAAAATGAGGTCTCTAAAGGAGGCCTCCAGGAGGGGGAGCCCATGATCTGCCACACCCTTCCTTTGCCAGAAGGCTTCCAGGTCGTGAAAGTTGGAGCAAATGGTGAGGTGGAGACACTGGAGCAAGGTGAACTTCAGCCACAGGAGGATCCTAATTGGCAGAAGGACCCAGACTATCAGCCCCCAGCCAAAAAGACAAAGAAAACCAAAAAAAGTAAACTCCGTTATACTGAGGAGGGGAAAGATGTGGATGTGTCTGTATATGATTTTGAAGAGGAGCAGCAGGAGGGCTTGCTGTCAGAGGTCAATGCAGAGAAGGTAGTGGGCAACATGAAGCCCCCTAAGCCAACAAAAATTAAAAAGAAAGGTACGTGAAGTAGTACATTGGAGGGGGAGGGATTGACTTCCAAGTGCAGCACAGGATATAAGTTACTTCTCAGCCAGGGCATTACCTGGAGCAGATTAATTTAAAAACTTTAATCTTTCTAATGCTTTGATGATGGTCCATTAAGTGCAGGAGAAGTTTTTCTCATCCAGTTTTCTGAAGGTTGGGGTTTTGTCATTCACAAAGATCCAGATGATGAGTTGGGAGAGGGTTTCTTGATACAAAAGCCAAGTGCCAAATTTCAGGCAAGGAAGCCTGTTTTCCCTGAGGTCAGACTGGGATGCCGTCCAGAATGGGAGATCTGTCTTTATGCTGTGTGACTTAGCTAAGTGACTTCCTCCATTTGCATTGGCTTTATTATTGCTGGACCTGCTCAGATGTGGTACATCTTGCAACCTTTGGTTAGAAGCAGTGGAACAGGTGAATAAGCTGAGGAAGAACCTGCCTCAGAGTGGCAGCTTTAGGCTGGATGTCTCTGTTGTGCTGCTGGCCTTATACATGCCTGGGTAGAAGGGTTGCCATTTTAAGACTGCTAAAAGAGTTGTTTTACGAACAGGAGTGAAGAAGACGTTCCAGTGTGAATTGTGCAGCTATACTTGCCCACGTCGTTCAAATTTGGATCGTCACATGAAAAGCCACACAGATGAGAGGCCGCACAAATGCCACCTGTGTGGCAGAGCCTTCCGGACAGTCACGCTGCTGAGAAATCACCTCAACACTCACACAGGTAGTGTGTAAGATAATGCTGTCAACCCATGTCCTGCCTGGTGTGCATGTGTAGCTTCTGGTTTGATGGAGCCAAGCTCTCAAGCTCATTCACCTTTGTGGTAGTCATGATCACCAGTCACAGATTCTGTGACTGATTAAATCAACTGACTAAGCCTGTGTGTATTTGTATAAAGGTTTGAATGTGGGGTTTGTTTGTTTTTTGTTGCTGTTGTGATTGTTTCTTTGTGAGAATCTTAAATTGTTTTAAGTTGAGACTGGTAGAGGTGGGGCAGGAATTTACTGTAAGAATAGAGAGACTGTTTCTTTTACAGTAGGGTTCTCTGATCAGTTCAAATGGCCCAACCAGTCCTTGCAGCCATTAACACTTCATGTTGTGAAACATCCTTTTGACTAGGAGGAGTAAAGTACTGCTTTCTTCATTAACACTGTGAAGCTCTATCAGAGAGCAATTTTGTTTTAAAGCAAGGTGTGCACTCTCCACCTGCCTTGTTTGAAAGGAAAAATGCAGGGGTTTGCCATGGAAATTCAGTACTAAGTGAAGTATAGCTCCCAGCAGATGCCGGATGGTAGAGATTGGCCAGTGGAAATGGCCCAACCTTTCCCTAAAGAATGAAGTTGTAATTTGGGGTTGCTCTTAGACCCAGCATTGCCACTAGAGGGACAGGTGGACTCATTTACTCTGTTATTCACTTTTATTATTATGCCAGTTATGACTCTTATCTACACTCTGGTAACTTCTTGATGGAATGGCTGCAATCTGTCTTTCAAGTCTGAAAACTTCAGCTTGTTAAAAATAGGTCAGTGAGATTGTTAACAGGGACTGGCTAATATGACTTGATTAGCTTAGTGATTTGTAAACTGCATTGTCTTCTATTAGGTTTCCAGGCCCAATTCAAAATGTTGGTATTAACTTTTAAAGTCATAAAGGACTTGAGGACAGGTTACCTGACGCATCACTTCCTCCTATATGCAGCTGCCCAAACTTTACAATAGTCTTCAAAGGCCCTTCTCTAGTTGCCCCTGCAAAATGAGGTGAGGCAGGTAGCTATTAGGGCCTTTTTGATGGTGGTACCCCAGTTGAGGGACAGCCTCTCCAAAGATACTCTTATTTCTAAAGAATATCTTGGTGTCCATTAAGGTTTTTGCACTGCTGCTAGCTTTTAGTTTGTTTTCATTTTAGTTTTATTTATTTATTTATTCATTCATTCATTTAATATATCTTCCAATAGCTGAGTTTTATTCAGTTTTTATCGTATGTTTTACTGTGCTGTTTTTAATGACTTAATATGCTTTTTATGAAACAATACAGAGGACTTTAGCTATTGAGAATTATAAAAATTCAGTGAATGAAAGATAAAACAGCTTTCATTGTACCACCAGATGTAGTATGTAACTTATAGCAGTATAGGAACATAATTGAAATAAAATGCTTTACATCAGAGGAGTAAGGCTTTGATCCATTGTGAGACAGTGACATTCTTTATCAATTAAAGCAATGTAGTTTTTTTACCATCAGTGGGCTATAAAAAACAGCCTTTTTCAATGACATATCATACTCTTCTTTTCAAACATTAAGGCTCTTAGACTTCGGACATTTATGTTTTGAGTGTTTTTTTAAATTAATCAATTTAAATAGAGACATTCTTACCCATTTCTTTTCCCCTTTCATATGAAAAGGGTACATATAGGACCCCCCCCCATGAAGCCACTGCCAGTTTATACATTGTCTCAATTTTCTTTCTCTTTGAAATCCCTCAGGTACTCGCCCTCACAAGTGTCCTGACTGTGACATGGCCTTTGTGACGAGTGGTGAGTTAGTGCGGCATCGCCGCTATAAACATACCCATGAGAAGCCATTCAAGTGTTCCATGTGCGACTATGCCAGCGTGGAGGTATGTTAAAATCTGCTTTCCTTGCAGTAGTGTTCTTAGGCCGGTTAAACTTTTTTCCTGCCTTCTGGATCTTTGAAAGGCTACATCATTACTTAAGCATGTTGCATATTTTTTATTTTTGATGCAAGTGCCAGTTGCTTCCAGAATCTTTTAGGCTGCTTGTAGCAGAAAGTTATTTATTATACAGTGGCTGGACTTCATGGACTGCTCTCACAGTATGGAAACAAATTTGCATGGTCTGCTTCCCAGCGCAGCCTTGGGGAGCCAAGGAAACCTTCCTGAAATACTGGCAGGCTGGTTAGTTTGTTTTTGGCTTTGCTCCGTCATCTCATTCGCTATTTAAAAACACAAAACTGTTTAGCATTAGCTAAAATCATCTCCCCTCATCCCTTGATACAAGAGCTTAGATAAAGCATCTTGCAAAAAGAAACTTTTCACAATGAAACTGGGGGAGAGAGAATGGGTGGGAGGAAGAGGGTTCCAGGGTAATCACATTGTTGTAGCATCTGACTCCCTTTGATGAGTTTCTGGAGGCAAACTGTAAACAGAATTAGACTAACGGAGAAGAAATGTTTCTTTGAAATAGAAGCTGCAGCCAAGTGTTTGACTAGTTTTTCATGTTCTGATGGAGTTCAGTATCTCAAACTCAGTACCATTTTCCCAATATCACTAGGCAAATATAAGGAGAAATTTCTAAAAGAATGAGTTTTTAACTTTAACACTGAATTCAAGAACATATTTACACTGCATGACAGCAACTACTTTGGACACTGAATGTAATGATGTAATTGCAAGATTGCCAAGGCTAAGAAAGCCCACTGACACACATCCTTCCTTCCTTATACATCTGGGAACATACTACATTGCCAAGCAGCCCTTTGAAGAGATCACACCAGACTTCAAAGCTTTTAGGGAGGAAAGTCAAGAACTTTGAGGCCCAGATAGTTTTCTCTTCAATCCTTCCAGTTCTTGGAAGACAAGTAAACAGGGAAAGAACAATACTCCCAAGTCGATGCCTGGCTACAAAAGTGGTGCTGATGTGAGAGATTTGGATTCTGGGACCACAGGCTACACTTCCTGGAAGACAGACTGCTAGCAAGTGATGGAAAAGAATGTGTTCGGCCACTTTGAAGAAGTTTATCAGGAGGGCTTTAAACTGAATCTTACAGGGGAGGGAGAAGTACACTTGAGGCTTATGCACCACAAAGACTTATGCACCACAACAGAAAGAGCAGCTCTACAGTGCCCAATAATAGTCTTCCAAAAATGTAGGGAAAAAGTTAGAATATAAAACATGTGGTCTTCAGTGTCTACATACTAATGCCCTGAGTATGAGAAACAACCAGCATGAATTTGAATTAATCCAGGAGGTTGAATACGACCTGATCAATATAGACAAAACTTCGGATGATTCCCATGGCTGGACTTCAACAGTTGAAGGATAGAACTTGTTCAAGAACAGAAGGAACAGAAAGGGAGACAGAGTTACAATATATAAGATACATATCTCTGCACAGAAATTCAGGTAGATGAGCTTAGTAGCCCCATCAAGAGCATTTGGTTTAATATAAATGTAGCAAAGAATAAAAGCAACACAGTGGTTGGAGTCTATTACCAACCACCCAGTCAAGAAGACAAGGATGAAACTTTGAAAAGCAAATTGCCAGCGGGATGTTATTGATATGGGGGATTTCAGTCTCCCCAGTATCTGTTGGGAGACAAATTCTGCCAAACATGGCCCCTCCACAAGGTTCCTAACATGGGTTACTGATAACTTCCTCCTAGAAGAAACAACTAGAGGAATAGCTGTCTGTAACATTTAACACAAACCTGGGTGGGATAGCTAATGCCCTAGACCAGGGGTCCTCAAACTTTTTAAACAGGGGGCCAGTTCACTGTCCCTCAGACTGTTGGGGGGCCGGACTATAGTTTGAAAAAAATATGAATTCCTATGCACACTGCACATTAAAATAATTTAAAAATTTAAAAATTAATTTAAAAAAATAATTACATATTTGCTCCACTCGCTCGGGCTGCAGCAGAAGCCCAAGATGACGCTGCACTGCCCGCTGAAAGGGAGAGCACGACACAAGGGGGAGCCATGAGGGCGCGCTCACCTCGGTCAAGGCCTTCCCAGCTCCTCGCCGCCACCCCGTTTCTGAGCCGGAGGAAGATCCCTTTGCTGGTGTTCGCCCGGCTCCAGGTGGGGAAGCGGGAGTGGGAGGCCAGAGAGGCGAGCACAGGGCAACTTCCCCGGCCGGGAGAGGGCCATGAGGAGGGAGGTAATGGCTGCTTTCTACAGGCCAGGGTGAGAGACAGGGCCGCAGCCAGCTGAGCAGGGCACCTCCCGCCTCTCCCTGCTGTAGGGGGAAGAAGCAGCTCGCCCTGAGAAGGCCATGGCGGGATCGCAGGAGCCGTGGCCCTGCTCCTGCTCCTGCTCCTCCTGGCCTATCCACCCCCGGGCTCAGGGAGGTGGCTGCAGCTTGGCCCGCAGCCCAGGGACATGGCTCATGTAGTTAAAAATATATTTAAAAAGTTATATTTTGCTTACCTTCTATCTTTTTTTATTGTCTTCACCCCCCCCCGCCCTCCTCTCTTCTGTATTCCTGCTCTGTATTCAGAGCCAATGCATGCACGCAAGAGGGGGAAGAGCCGGCGCACGCACAGTTGAAGGAAGCTGTTACAATTTGGCGCATGTGCCAGCTCACTGCTAGTCTCCAAAACTGAGTTTCAGAGATTCCTGTGCCAGCTAAGAGCTTTCGGACTTGTTCAGAGATCGTTTTCTCTGAACAAGTTTGAAAGCTCTGAGGTGGGCCAGGTAAACGACCTTGGCGGGCCATAGTTTGAGGACCCACGCCCTAGATGATAGAATGCAGTTTAAGGTAATCTTCATAGGTTGAAGCATTGGGCTGAAAACCATAGAATGGAAGTCAATAGGAGCAAATGTCAAGTCTTGCACCTAGGAAAAAGAAACCAAATACATTGTTACAAGATGGGGGATACTTGGCTCAACAATACTTCAGGTGAGAAGAATCTTGTTGTAGATCATAAGCTAAATATGAGTCAACAATGTGATCTGCCTTAAAAAAGGGCAAATGCTATTTTAGGTTGGGTTAATAGAAGTATCACTTCAAGATCACATGAAGTACTAGTTCCCCTTTACTCAGCACTGGTTAGGCCTCATCTGAAGTACTGTGTCCAGTTCTGGGCAAAAAAGTTTAAGGAAGATGCAGATAAGCTGGAAATAGTTCAGAGGAGGCTAACAAGGACGATCCAGGGACAAGCAACAAAGGCCTGTTAGGAGAGATTGAAAGAACTGGACATGTTTAGCCTTCAGAAGAAAAGACTGAGGGGAGGTAAATTTTCTACATGTACTTGAAAGGCTGTCACAGAGAGGAAGGCCAAGATCTCTTCTCCATCAGGAAGCTAGGTTCCAGCTGAGCGTCTGGAAGAACTTTCTGAGTGTTAGAAAAGTATAAGAATGAAACCCATTACCTAGGGAGGTTGTGGCCTCTCCCATACAAGAGGCATTTGAGATGCAGCTGGACAGCCATCTGAGAGGGATGGTTTAACTTGGCATCCTGCACTGAGCAGGGGGTTGGACCCAATGACCCTCTGGCCCCTTCCAGCTCTGCTACTCTGTTTCTCAAGCCCTATTCTTGCCTCAAAACATTACACTGTTAAGACCTGCCTCTTTAAATGTGATCCATTCAACTGACAGTTCGCAACCATTCTTTAATACGTGAGAAAAAGCAGTTTCTGGTTTGGCAGAAAAATACTGTTCAAAAAAAGGTCACAGAACAGGCAAATAATCTACTGCCTGGATCTCACAAAGAATGTTTAGCCGCTCAACTGCTCTGTCTTTTTTTCTGCCCTATCATACATTTAAATAAATGTGAGGGTGAAAAGGATAACGTGGATTCTTCAAGGGGGAATTACAGTGACTAGAACTCATTGTAGCCCTGCCTTGATCAGCATGTCTTTAATCCCGTCTTGTTACTCTTTTGGTTCAGGTCAGCAAGTTGAAACGCCACATACGCTCTCACACTGGGGAGCGCCCATTCCAGTGCAGCTTGTGCAGCTACGCCAGCAGAGATACTTACAAACTGAAGAGGCACATGAGGACACATTCTGGTATGGATTTTGCTGTGACAACATGTGCTAGATGTTTTGTGCCACCTGCAATATTAGCCTGTAAAACTGTGATGTCTAGATTGTCTTAGAAGGAGGTGAATCAAGCTTAATGTTTCAGTGATTTTGCTTAAGGGCTGCCATGGCAGTTGTGGATGCTTGGTTCACACTATGAGAAGTGGCTTAAAGGCATCTTGCCAGCCCAGTGTCTCATTTGTCCCTTCTTTTTCTTACACTGTTGTGAAATGTTTTCAAGCCAGACACCAGAAGCTGATGTTCCCTTCAGGTGATAGGAACTTTCTAATTGGGAGGGAAGGGGAGAGAGATACTGACACTTGGCTGAACAAAATCACAGTGATTGTATCCAGTGTGCATCAGTCTGGTAATGTTGTTCTGCTCCCTAACCATTTTTATCTCTACAGTTTGCTTTGATGGCACGAAGTGTCTTTTCAAACTCGTGCATGTCTGTGCATGCACGTGGGCATGCACTCGTGTGCTCCAATGCATGCACAGAGTTCTTCTACCAACAACTGAGCCTCTTGGGCTAACCTTCTTTCCTTTCTCCGAAAAGGTGAGAAGCCCTACGAGTGCTACATCTGCCATGCTCGCTTTACCCAGAGTGGGACTATGAAGATGCACATCCTGCAGAAGCACACAGAGAATGTGGCCAAGTTTCACTGCCCTCACTGTGACACAGTTATTGCACGGAAGAGTGACTTGGGTGAGTGGCCTGCAGCTTGAAGCTGAGGCTCCAGACTCCTGTGAAAGAGAAGGGCATCAAATTTTTTGGAAGAAGAGTTCAAATTCTGAAAGTTAATTCATGCATCAGATTGCATTATTTTGATGGCCCAGAGAACAAGCTAAAGGAATAGAGCACTGTCCTGCTTCAGAACTAAGCAAGCCTAGCCCTAAAAAATATCTGGGTGGGAGACCTGGGAAGGTGCATTGAGTGAGTGCCTTTAGAGGTGAAGCAAGGCACAAATAGTCATTTTTATTCCCTTTGTGAGATTGATCCTTCCAACTAATCACAAAGGTTACAGATTAGCTTATTAAAATGAACTTTAAAGTATGAGATGCATGTGAAGGGCTGCATTAGTTATTGCAAATACTGTAGATCTGTACAGTTTCATCATGCATTGTATTTTTAAATCACACCCTTCCCTAAAGAAGCCTTAGAGCCAAGTAGCAGCACTAAACAGAAAAACAAATACAGACAGCTTTGAGCTTTCTATGGACTACGACATTCGTCTTCACATATCAGAGCAGAAAATTTTTTGCTCGGCTGAACATCATTTAATCCCCAAGGTATAGGCTTAAACACCTCAGTGTACTTCAACTCTGCAACAGAAGCAGAGGATTCTATTGACTCGCTTGCCTTTCCAGGAGTCCATTTGAGGAAGCAGCATTCCTACATTGAGCAGGGCAAGAAGTGTCGTTACTGTGATGCTGTCTTCCATGAGCGATATGCACTCATCCAGCATCAAAAATCTCACAAGAATGAGAAGCGTTTCAAGTGTGACCAGTGTGACTATGCATGTCGACAGGTGAGGATATAGGGTGAAAAATTGCATTTAGAAAAATCATCATATATTAGACCCTATGTCTCTCCCCTCCCCGCCACATTCCACTAACTACTTTTTTTATTGTTCTGCCTTCCAGGAACGGCATATGATCATGCACAAGCGAACCCACACTGGAGAAAAGCCTTATGCCTGTAGCCATTGTGATAAAACCTTCCGCCAAAAGCAGTTGCTTGACATGCACTTCAAGCGCTACCATGATCCAAACTTTGTCCCAGCTGCCTTTGTCTGTTCCAAGTGTGGCAAAACATTCACACGTCGTGTAAGTGATCATAGCAAAATAAGGGACGAGGTCATTCCACAGGAGCAGCAAATGAAGTGCTGCTGCCTCAGAAGGTGCTGGGCACTGCTTGTCACCAGTGGATCTTCCAGTTGCCCTGTGTGTGTGATACCGCTAATACCTAGGCCAGTCTGATCAGAGATTTCTGCTGAATGCCTTTAAAAATGGGAACTTTCTCTGGGACTGTGAAACTTAGACGTATACTGCTGTTTTCTGTTCTCACTTATTGGAATTCTTCATTGACAACTGTTTTGGAAGTCCAGAACATGAACCCAAGCCCTCGATATTATTATTTATTTATTTATCACAAAACTTTCTTCACACTTGGGGAAGGCTGTTCAGGAGTGCATGCCAACTGCACTTTGCTCATTGCCTGTAGTAATTGCCAGTGTTCTGTCTTAGGATCTTATTTGGCAAATTACATAATTGCTTTTGTTTGGGGATGAAGCCTATGATTTGGAGGCAGGGTTCAGGTGCCTCTCATCAGTTAATAACAGCATTTAACACTTGCCTGTCCTTCTTTGATTAGAACACCATGGCGAGACATGCAGATAACTGCACAGGTCCTGATGGGGTAGAAGGAGAAAATGGCGGAGAGCCCAAGAAGGGAAAACGCGGGCGAAAGAGAAAGATGCGCTCCAAGAAGGAGGACTCCTCTGACAGTGGTAAGCACTATAAGTAACCTCCATAACAGCTGGGAGACCCTGGCTTTTCTTATAGTCATGCTCTTTCTCTCACACCAAACAGCAGAGTTACCCAGCCTTGAAGTTACTGTGTGCTAGAATGGAAAGTTACGACTGAAGTGGTGATTGGGTTTCTCTCCTTTGGGGTTTTTTAAACTACAGCTTGTAAAATAGGATACTTCTCTACTCTTACTTCTATTTTTGTTCTATGTTGTTGTTGTGAACTGTCCCAAGACATCTGTGATGGGATGGTATACAAAAGCTTTAAATAAATAAGGATAGTAATGTTACACTCCGGAGGTCCTGATCCAGATGTGAGTTTGCACATATTTGTATGTTAGTTTATGGTGACTGAACTCTTCTTGGCATCAGGGAGTGCCAGAAGTCAAGGACTGAAAATGCTCAGAATACGTTTGGTACCCAAATAGATTGTGTGGATGTGAAAGGAGGGTGAGCATGAGGAGGAATGAAGAGGAATGCTGCCTGCAGTGAGCCAGTCACTTCCGCTTTTAAGCAACAAAGGTTGATAAGTGTGCCTACTGGTTGTTTAGGGACAAGAAGCTCTGGGTTTTATTCCTGATTAAAATTGAAAAAGCAATTCTGCCTTAAGAGAAGCATATTCAGGCTATTCCCATCTTCTTTTCTTCCTTTCCTTTCCTAACTTAAAAAAAATATTAAAGAGGAAAATGCAGAACCTGAGTTGGATGATAATGAGGAGGAGGAAGATGAGACAGCAGTTGAAATAGAGGCTGAACCAGAAGTGGAACCTGTGGCTCCCGCACCACCACCAGCTAAGAAGCGAAGAGGACGGCCACCAGGCAAAGCCAATCAACCAAAACAGACCCAGCGTAAGTTTGGCATTTGGGCAAAGGGGAAGGTGTTGCAGGTTTTATTCAGGAGATTGCCAAAAGGCAACGGGGCAGAAAGGATATAAGGAGAGAAATCTCTCTGGTGGTCTTGGGATTGAGGGAAACTGTTCATGCAAGTATGCCATGGTTCTTGGCAAAAAATATTTCAGTGTATTTAGTAAAAATCTAAATTTGTGGGGATCTAAAATCTTGGGAATTTACACCAGGTATTAGAAATTCGATGAAAGATTAACCACTGTTTAGGGTTTGGATGCAACAGCAAACTATGGTTGATGTAAAATAGAGCAAAGGTCTGATCTTTAGGTCACACCAGAGGATCAGAGCAGTGGTGAACAGAAGCCCATACTTGCACTGTGTGCAAACTGGGCCACTGAGTTAGATTGAACTGTTGGTCTGACTGGCCTAATTTGGTAGAAGGCAGGTTTTTACTGTGAATGTAAATTTATCCTTAGGCAGCCAGCCTAAAAAAATTCCAAATTCAGCTTAAGTGTGAGTAATAAATGTCTGTCTAGATTCATTGTGATAGCATTTCATGGGTAAGGCTCAGCTGTATATGTGTGCCTTGTCCTTCACATAATTTCCCCTTCCCTGGAGCTATGAAATACATATCAGTTTGAAGCACCATGGGCAGAAATTAGTTTGACCAAAACTCTTGGTAATCATTATAATTCAGGAAGGCTTTTTCAAGGTACTGCCGTACACTTGCCAGTCTTTCTGATTCCCCCAAGAGGTTCTGCATGCCCCTCTAAGCTATAACATTGAGGTACTTGGCAACAGCATCTCCAAAACCGGTCTGGCTTTTCTCCCCTTCTCATTCACTAGCAGCAGCAATCATTCAGGTGGAAGACCAGAACACTGGTGCAATTGAAAATATTATAGTGGAAGTCAAGAAGGAGCCAGAAGCAGAGACTGTAGGAGCCACAGCAGGAGCTCAGCCAGCTGCAGTGGAAGCACCCAACGGAGACCTCACCCCAGAGATGATTCTTAGCATGATGGACCGGTGATGGAGGAAGGGTTGGGCTCTGACTGAACTGGCCTGGGCTCTTTTGAAGTGGCTCGATCCCTTTTTTTAATTTTTACCTTATTTTTTGGCTTTGGGAAATGCATCATTTTTAGACCATTTTACCAAACAACCTGGGAAACAAAACTCCAAATGATGTTAGAAAGTGATTTGCCTAGAATTCTCTCTTTCTCTCTCTCTTTCTCTCTCTCTGTTTAATGTTAGCCTAACCGGATCATGAACATGGGGCGATGTCTCTGGAGGATCTCCTGCAAATCGCTCGATCCAGTTAGCTTTGAACTGCATTCTAGTGAGAGGCCATGGACAGTCCTCTCATGTAATGTGGTGGGGCGGGGGGGGGGGGGAATGGAAGCTCAGACTCATGGGCCACGCAAACTGCCCTGGATCTGGATGTGCGTTCCTTCAAGCCCTCTGGCCTCATTTTGCTCTTTAGAGGTTTTTAATTGTAAATGCAGACTCAGGAGGGTTGTAAAACTTTTATTGCATTTTTGGTTTTGCTTTCCCCCCCACCTTGCCTATCCACTGACTGGCTCCGTGTCAGCATTGTAGGTTTGGCATGCCCCAGCTGTGTCTTTCTTCCCAGATGCTTTGCTTTCTGCAGGGCATCTCTGTAATGATCAAGCTTGTAAATAACTTTTTTTACATTTTAATCTTTTTCCATTTAATTGGGGCGGGGGGGAATACAGTTTAAAAAGAAAAGCCTGTCATTTTAAACTATTGCAAAAAGGAATTATGCAGGAATTGGTACCGAATGAAATGTTGGAACCTCGTTATCACATTACTGGAAGAGTGCTACCCAACCGTAAGAAGGTGGAAATCAACACCTCAGCTTGGTTTCTAAGTACATGGACTTGGTCATGAAACATGTCACTTAAAACTCCTTTTTGAGTTTCCAGTTTTCACAACTTCATTTTCTTTGCTTTTTTTCTTTGTGTTTATGAATTCTGTGTTAAAAGCCAAGGTGTTAATTTGAAATAGGGCTTCCCAGTCCTTGAAACCTAGGGCAGGAAATTTTACTATGTCAGTAATTATAAGATTTGGGGTCTTGAATTAAAAAAAATAATGTGAAAAACAAAATGATGACTGTATATGAACCATCACATGTTAAAAATACATAAGCTTTTTATAGAGCCTCAGTCTTGCTGATTTCAAAAGAACTTTCTTCTGTGTATCGCTTTTAAGAGAGCTATCAGGTTAGCTATCCAATTCTAGGTTGATGCATTTTTGTACTTAGCTGTACTGTGTGATATTTTTCATTATTTTAGAAAACCAACATGAAATAAAATGTTATAAAATACATAATGGGGTTTGGACTCTGGGAAGGAGAATATACTGCTGTACAGCTAATAAATAATAATGATTATCTTGTGTGTGTTTGTGTTTTCTGCCTCCTTTGAATGACTAGCAACTTGTGTTAATAACAGAGCAGAAAAGTCTTAAGATGATGTATAATGATTTTCAGTAGAGGGAAATGAATATGTTTTTTGTGGTGGCAGGGAGTGGCTTCTGAGTTGGGGCAGAGTTAAAAATGAATTGGGTTGCTCATATAACTTTTTAACACTTAAGTATGCATCTTAATTTGTTGGCAATCTCAGCAGCCAGAATTACATGCTTGGGATGACTTTGCTCACGTTATGTAAATAAGGTCAAGATATTTCTCCCGCAAAAGATGGATAAGGGCACATGTAATTGGAGCCCATGCAGGAGATACCAGGTTCCCTTATTGCATGTTACACAGTTTAAAAACAGAACTAAAAATAGAACTCTGCATGCTTTCCTGCACCTTGTAGAGCAGCAAAGCAGCCTTTCAGCTATCCTCCTTAGAATGCTGTCTTTGTTGTGGCAGTATTAGCATATATCTACATTCATGCATGTAATGACAGAAGAAGTTGATGGTCTTGGGTTTTGCCTTTTCTGTTTTCTCTGAGCCTAGTTCATACTTGAGAACTCTGCTATATAGAAATATGCTGGTTAGATCGTCTTGTTCACCTTAAGGCTGCTTTTGCTGCATGTGCTTGGAGAGCTATGTGGGGTGCCATGTTAGGGTCCAAGAAAAATACCCAACATGGTGCTCTCCAGATGTGTTGGATCACAATTCTCAATATCCCACAATTGGCAGTGGGCGTCAGCTGGTAGTCCCAGTGCATTTGGAGGGCACCAGTTGGAAAAAGGCTGGGCTACAGAGAAAAATATTCATTTTCCCGGTAATGTTGGCGTTTTCTCCGTTACCTTCTGAAATATCCCTAACACTGTCTTGTGCAGTTTCCTGATCAAGCAATGGCCAACCATTGCCTCTGGGAGTCCCACAAGTAGGACATGAGTGAAACAGCTTCTTCCTGCTTGTGTTCCCCCAACAACTTTCATTGAGAGAAACTGCCTCTGACTGCAAAGAAGAGAGTCATGGTGGTCATGACTAGTAGCCATCAATAGCCTTAATCGTATCATGCACTTGTCCAATCTCCTTTTTCAGCCATCCAAATTGGTGGCCATTGCTATAGTCCACATAATAAGTTCATTCTACAAGTAAACATGGAAACAACTTCTGAAATAGTATGTATCTTTGAGATTATTTGAAAGTTCTTTAGTAATTCATCTGAGATGGCCGCTTCTGTTTCCTGCCTAGGACTTCAAAGATATATATATATATAGTGTGTGTGTGTGTGTGTGTGTGTGTGTGTGTGTGTGTGAGAGAGAGAGAGAGAGAGAGAGAGAGAGAGAGAGAGAGAGAGAGAGAGAGAGAGAGAGAGATCACCTGTGCAGCTGCTAATCATTGATCAGTTTGGTTAGCACTGATTTGCTAACCAATGTTCAGGGCTCAACATAGCCATGCTGGATCACACTTAATGTCCTTCAAATCAGCATCTTCCAATGACCAACCACTGGCCCATTGGTCTTTATTGTGATTTTGGATCCTTGTTAATAGTCTTGGGCTGTGCAACAAAAAAATAAGCCAAGTGCCTCTGAGAAGCCCAGAAAGAGTTACTGTGAAGGCACTAGTTCTTTTTTATTGTTGCTTCCTGGAAATTGGTGGTTTCATATCAATGTTCTCTCTAATAATGGGATATCAATTGTGATTGCCAACAGACCTGGCCAAAATGGGACTACTACGAAACCTTTTGGAGAACCCAGAAGGTTCCAAGAATTGCAAAAGCTGATCAAATTAAGCATGCTGAGGAACACTTTGGGTGTCAGTTAAAAAAAAGAAAAACTAAAGAGACAAGGTGGAATATTTATTTATTTATTTATTTAAAACTTTTATATACTGTCTATCAGCTCAGGATGGTCTTAATAAAACAATGTGGAGCACAGCATCCAAATTGATTTTCTATACAGTAAAACCCCATATTAAAAAAAGACTCAAACCTTAAAATAATGGGAAAATAAAAAGGTTTTAGCCTGGTACCGAAAGGAATAAAGTGTCAGCGCCAGGCAAACTTCTCTGGGGAGCATATTACATAATGGGTGCCACCACAGAGAAGGCCCTTCTCCAGGTAGCCACCCTCTTAATCTTCAAGGAGGGCTTCCAAAGAAGGACCTCCACCCCAGATCTTAAGGGGTGGGTACACACATGGGAAAGGAGACGCACCTTCAGATATTCAGCTCCTAACCCTGGCTGAATTCTTTTCTGTATCCTGAAAGAGGATTTGACCCACTGGCACCAAGCCAGAGTTAAGAAAATAGTGCAACATTTGCCTTGACTGGTAGCCAATGTTAAATGCCCCATGAATTTACTTAATCTTGTCCTTTAAAACAATTCAGGGTTTGATAGGTCATCATACTTGGTTAGCTTAGTAGCATTAGTCTTCGATTTGCTACATAGGAGATAAAAATTTGATAGGATTCAGAAATCCCCGTTTTCATTACTCAAATGGCCATTCTGGGTTCTACAACTGGACTAAATAGTCACTTTTTGGATATTTCATAGAGGAGAACAAACATTCCCATTTGTAGTGTTCAGTGCTGTTGCCTGCATGGTGTAGCCACTTCTTTGCTTTTTCGTCCTGCTATCTGTTTGCTTGCTCAAGGGTTTTCGTGTTTTTTTTTCTTTTTTTCTTGAGGTGGGTGGGAGACAGGAAGAGGCACCTTAGCTGAAGAGGAGGTAGGAAGTGTAAGCAGCTGCAGCCTGGGTTTGTAACCTGCACTGTTTAAACTTGACGGAAATGAGCCTTTGTTCTGATTGGGGCTTTGCAGAGAGCCAGTTTTCTGCCTGAACACATCCAGAAGATGGCTGCCTCCAGAGAGATTCCAGCAGAACTGCATGGTAAGCTAAAGCTGCTTCATACCACTTGGCACAAGGCAGGAGACCAATATGGTTCCCTCTGTTTAGAATGGCGCCACTTTCCAAAGTGGAAATCTTGTTGTATCTTCTCAATGTCTTGGTTCTTGCTGATTAAGTAGAAATAGTTTTCGCTCATTCCTTGCTTTGTTGTCGAACATTTTGTGAAAGAGTTTATCCAAGAAGGCCACTTAGCATGTTGAGGAGGAGTAGAGAAGGAAGGCATCCAAGTTGAGAACCTTAAAACCTTACTTTTTCAGAAATAGTGAGTGACTTTGGTTTCAGCTGTACTGAGCATTGGTTCTAGATGGTTAGCAGTAATTTGAAAAGAACTGTGAGGGCTGGAACCGTTCCTTTAAAAAATGCAGTTGGGAGACACACTTTTCATAAACCTGGTCTCCTTGCAACAGTTAGTATATATAGATGTTCCAAAGAGGCAATTTAAAAGGCCAGGGACAGATAATAGTCCCATGAGCTACTTTGAAACACCAAAGCCATCTCTGCAACTCGTGCTGCCATCTAATAACCAGTAACTCATAAACCTTGCAAAGCGTGGGAGTTTAATAAGAAGTAACGGCACCATGTGTGAATTTCCTTTGACCGACAATTTATCAATGCCTTTAAAAATACTAATGAGCTAATGAGCGTATTTTCAGCAATCAATGTATTTTATTGTTAAATACACAACGCAGTAGTGGTTCCAGAAGCCTAGAAATTCTTACTCATGAAGTAATTGTAACACTGATTGGAAGAATCGTTGACTTACAAAAGTGACTACTTGCTTCTTATTTCATCGCCTTTTGTTGCCACCTGCAAACAGAATGGAAAATAATAATAGAGTGATTTTGTTCAAAACTTAAAAATTAGCCTGAGAGTCTGAACCAAACCAGTTGTGTTGTGCAGCTGAAATGCAAAGACATAACTTTTTAAATGCAGTTAGCACCAGCTGGAGGGGGGGATAAGTAGCAAGACTTCAACCACACAGAGGGCTTTGGCTGTGAGGCTGTATAGAAATGAAATTGAGGATGATTATTTAATCCTGAAGGAAATTCTTTGAAGCTAACTGCACTGGGAGGAAAGCTCCTCTGGTGCCAGTTCCCCCTCCATGCCTGCTGACGTCCCAACAACTATCAGCAACCACAATGCTGTGTGTGTTCAGACTGAGAAACGAGCTACACCTGCCAACGTTGCCAAGCCAGCAAAGCTGGTTGAGGTCTGCTGGAAGATGTATGGTTTTTTCTGTCTAGAAACACAGAAACAGAGCGAGTCAGAAGGAGCCTCCTGGGCCATCAGTCTGAACTCCGGCACCAGCCGGCTCCGCTCACGAGATGCCCACCATGTGGACGTCCAGCCTATCCTTGAACACCCCACCGAGGGGGCCTCAACAACCTCTCATGGAAGCCCATTCCACACCCTCGGGGTCCTGACTGTCAGGAAGTGCTTCCTGGCATCCAAATGGAACCTTGGCTCCCTGAGCTTTGCTCTGTTGGAGCGTGTCCTGCCTTCCTCTGCAGGGGAGAACAGGTCTCCACCCATCTCCATGTGACATCCCCTCACATACCTGTATGTCGCCAACATATCCCCTCTGAGTCTTCTCCAGGCTGAAGAGTTCCAGTTCCCTCAGTCTCGCCTCATACGGCATCCCCTGCAAACCGGCCACCAACCTTGTGGCCCTACGCTGCACTGACTCCAACCTGGCTATATCCTTTCTGTAATGAGGGGCCCAAAACTGAACACAATACTCCAATTGCAGGCGCACCAGAGTCATGTAGAGTGGTAGTAATACCTCTCTTGATCTAGAAGCCACACTTCTGGCTATGCAACCAAGGGTGGCGTTCGCCCTCTTGACCACCGCATCACACTGCTGACTCATGTTTAGCCTGCAGTCAACCAGTACCCCGAGGTCCCTTTCACAAGTGCTGCTCTCCAGCCACTTGTCACCTAACCTGTACTTATGACAGCTATTCCTATGCCCCAAGTGCAAGACCTTGCACTTATCCACATTGAACGCCATCCTGTTGTCTCCTGCCCACTTCCATAGTCTGTCCAGATCCTTTTGGATCTGGAGTCCCTGCTCCTCAGTTGTGGCCACTGCTCCAGTTTTAGTGTTGTCTGTGAATTTGATCAGCAGACTGTTCACCCCTTCTTCCATGTCGTTGATGAAAAAATTAAACAGGATTGGCCCCAGGACAGAGCCCTGGGGGACCCCGCTTGTTACTGGCCGCCATCCCAATGATTCCCTGCTAATGGTTACCTTCTGCTTTTGGTCAGTCAACCATGCCCTAATCCACCAGACAGTGCTTTGGTGTATCCCAAAACTCCTCAGTTTCTCCACCAGGATATCATGGGGCACTTTGTCAAAGGCATTGCTGAAATCCAGGTATACCACATCCACTGCATCCCCTCCATCTAGCCATCTCTAAACCTTGTCATAGAATTCCACAAGGTTTGTCTGGCAGGACCTGTTTTTGCGGAAGCCGTGTTGTGCGGCTGTCAGCCTCCCTTCCCTGTCTAGCATCACTAGATCTCTCTCTATTATGAGCCTTTCCATTGTTTTTCCTACAATGGACGTAAGGCTAACCGGTCTATAATTCCTCATGTCCTTTCTACTACCCTTTTTGAAAATTGGGACCACTGATGCCACTCTCCAATCCTCTGGAACTTCACCCGTTCTCCATGAGGTCTCAAAAATGGAGGCCAGTGGGCGTGAGAGAACCCCTGCCAATTCTCTAAGTACTCTCAGGTGTAACCCATCAGGGCCTGGCACCTTTGTAATGTCCAATGCCCTGAGGAGCCCTTCGACTTCAAGGGGGGTGACTCTAATCTGTGCCCCTAAGTCCCCAGCCTCATCTAATCTCCTATGCGGATATCCCCTGTCCTGCTCTGGGGAGAACACAGAGGCAAAATAGTCATTTAGCATCTGTGCCTGTTCCCTCATATCAGTCACTGGATCTCCTTCCTCCTTATTTAGTGGTCCCACCACTTGTCTCCCCTTCCTCTTCCTATTTACATGCTGAAAGAAGCCCTTTTTGTTGCTCTTGATATTCTTGGCAAGTCTCAGCCCGTAATCAGCCTGAGCCTTGTGAAGAATCCTTCTGCAACGGGCCTCCTCCTCCTGGTATACCCTTTTGTCTATTTCCCCCGGTACCCATTTCCTATGGAGGTTCCTCTTTCGTCTAATCCCTCTAACCAACTCCTTTCGCATCCATGGCGGCACTTTCCTCCGCCTCCCCACCTTACTGACTAGAGGTATCATCAAGGCTTGCACCTCCAAAACCTCCCTTTTGAGTGCTATCCACCCCTCCTCAACTCGCTTACCTTCCAGTAACCTATCCTAGGAGACTTTCCCCAGTCTGGCCTTCAGTTGGCCAAGGTTGGCCCTCTTGAATCCCAGCTTCTAGTGCTCGACCTGCTGCATGTCCCCAGTCCTCTGATCTCAAAGCAAAGGATGGAGTGATCACTCGCATCCAGAGCTCCCCTAATCTGTATTTCATCTATCAGCTCCTCCCTATTGGTCAAGACCAAGTCAAGATGTTCCCCCCCCCCTTGTCGCCTCTCGGACCCTCTGTGTGAAAAACGCTCCCTCTATAGCTTCTAGGAAGCGACGTGACCTGGCTGTCACCGCCGAGTGAGTCTCCCAAGTAATATCCGAGAGACTGAAATCTCCCATAATTACTGTGTCTCTCCCCCAAGATGTCCTTAGAATCTGGCCTGTCAGGACATCATCCAGGGTCTCAAGTTGACCTGGAGGGCGATAACATACCCCCACTGTCAGGTCTCTTTCCCTGTCAAAACTCCTAAGTTTCACCCAGGCTGCCTCTACCGAATCCCCATCTGTGCTGCATTCTATCTCACTGCATCCTATCCCTTCCCTGAGGTATAAAGCCACACCCCCACCTCTCTTTCCCTTCCTGTCCTTTCTAAAAAGGTGATACCCTTCTATGTTCACATTCCAGACTTGCCTTTCATCCCACCAAGTTTCCGTGATTCCCACCAGATCATACCCTCCTATTCCCAGGAGAGCTTCAAGCTCTTCCTGCTTGTTACCCATGCTCCTAGCATTGGTGTACATGCACCTTAACTCCTTCCCACTGCTTCCTTTCCTTGGAGTTCCCAGCCTCCTCCTTCCTCCCATCCTCCCTGATACCTGGCCCCTCTCTGTCGGAGTCCTTTTCTGTCTAGACATGAAGAGAATTGCATCTTTTAATATCATGGCTGGGCTTGCCCTGTGAGGGTCATTTTTTCTAACCAGAGAATTAATTACCTTTGCTCAGCACAGCTTTTACCAGCTGCAAATCCCCATTGCCACTCTGCCTCTACATATCAGGGGAATTCCTATTTCTATTATTTTTACTGTTAAACTCAATTTGGCAACCAAGACTACATTTTGCAACCCCAATTCATGCACATACCTACAAGTTCAATATATTTAATTTTGATCAAGCAAATAATGAGCTTTTGGCAGTCTTTTAGAGCTTTGCCCTTACCTTCATTCTTCTATTCCAACCTTCAACTTGTTTACCTCCAGATGTTTTTAAATTATTATCACAAATAATGGTGTTTTGTCCTGCAAGGGACTCCAGGTGACTCATGTAATTCTCCTTCCAATTTTATCCTCACAACAGTCCTGTGAGGTATCAGCTGAGAGTTGGTGAGAGCTTCAGCTGTTGGGGCAGTACAGAAATGAACTTAGAAAATAAGCAGTCCAACTACTCTGCTCACACCAGCAGCCCTGAGTCAGCAGAGCAAACAGTCAGAGATTCTTGGCACTGTCCTCAGAAAAACATGCTGGAGTTCGCCAAAGTGGAAGTCTGCTCCTGGGTAGTTGCTTTTTAGTAAAATTAATGACAGTGCAGGCCACTCCCCATCCCTGCCCACACCAGCACTTCTAACCTGAAAGGCCGCCACCATTCAACAAGCTCTCTGCCCGTGTCCCTTATCCTTTCTTCTTGCTTTTTCAGAAAGCATCACAGATTTCCTAGGGACACAGGAGTTTGTCCTGCTGGATGCTTTTCTCCACATCAGATCCAAAGTTGAAGATATTGTTCTGGTATGTATCGATGCCTCAATTCCACCACTTTTTTAAGGGGGAGTCCATTTCCCCAGGTTCTTCACACAAGCAATGCAATGCTGACTTAACTTTTCCTAGGCTGCAAACGTCCACACTCTGCTTCCATGGATTTTTCATGACAAGCTGTGTGTGCGCACATGCATGCACAGCCCTAAATAGAAATAAGGGATTAGAGTAGCATTTTTTCATCCCATTCTCTGAAAACAAATGTAACTGGTGTTGCTGTGTGCTTCTTTCTGCATTCCTGTAATAGCTGTTCACCCTGTACATTTGTAAATAAATATTTATTGCAAAGTTGCTACAAGTATTCAATTTTCTTTCCTCAAGAAAGAAAGTTACCCTCAAAAGGCTATCATGGACTTAATCCATGGTTGAAAGGGGCGCAAAGCAAACCAGTCTCGGTCTGAAAATCTACAGCCTGCAAACAAGCAAAAAGTGGCAGCTGGTCCAATAAATAACTAATCCACAGTTTTATGTGGCACTGGATCCTAATGATTTGTCCATGTACACTTCTCTCAAGCAACTATGTTAAGATTGCTGCCACCGGAAGCAAAGAGATTCTTACTTTGCAGTGGTAATATATTTGACTGTAGTGGAATGATAGACATATAATTCACCTGTCCTCCCCATGAAAGTACAAACAAGCCAAACCGTTAAGGCAGCAATCACACGCTCACAGCTAAATAAATATTACTTTAAGATGTAGCTAGCATATGCCTTTAGGATCAGGACTGTATCAGGGATATGGGGAGGTTTAAGGATCTGATGCAGGGGAAAAGTTAGGACCCCCACACTCTGGTTAGTCCTGTTTGACTCTAGGATAAAACTGAAAGAAGGAGGTGGCTGCTAGCCATATCTTTAATGTCTGTTTTAGCCTTCACTGAACTCAAAGAGACTTGCTGCTGAGTAGATACACAAAAAAAATGAGCTATCAGTAGCTTTACAAAATACAACAGATACAAAGGGCAAGTAAAAAATTGGCATGGTCATAGATAGTAGAGACTGTAATATAAAAGTAAAATAATGTAGGGCACCATCTTATGCTTGTTCAAATTCCTAGTATGCCCCCATCAGCACCCTTAGGTGTATTTTTAAATTTTTGCCTGTGGCCTTTCCTTTCAAGCACTCAGGCTCCATTCTCCATCTTATTGTATGATGGGAAGAGCGTTTTCCCTAGTGAAGATGAAAACGTGAAGGGATCCCTGCTCTGCTCACGTATTCATGGGAGGATGGCTGAGGTAAATAGGTGCAAGGGAAGAGCACAGGAGTCTCCAGGCCCTTTCCCTTCCCCTGCACCCGCCGCCTCCATGATCAGTTGCTCTAGTCACCTTTCCCAGTTTCATTAGCCAAAGCTGGGGAAAGTAGCTGAAGCAACAGAGGAAAGGTGAAGGTAAAGGTCAGAGGGAAGCTCTCCCCTTCTGTGCATTCCTCTGACTTTTAAAATAACACAGACACACTGCTTTGCATACAAACGGGGCACATGTGTGAAAGGAAACCATGCTCCGACTCTGCAAGAGACATAATATTTTATCTGAGGCGCAATTCAGGCCTTCTCAAAATGGTCACCTGATGAAATTACTTGCTGACCTGTCAATAACCAGAAGAACAGCAAAAGCACCATGGCTGCCACTGTGTGCAGCCGCACAGCCAGGCCTCAGTTGACTTGAGTCTGCTTCTCTTTGCCGTGCCTTTCTATGCAGGTTTTGATGCCATGGCGCGCACTGGTGATCCTAGCAAAGCTACCAGTCAAGGTAAATCCTGCTTTCTTCTTGCACTTGTCTCTTCCAGAGGAAGCAACCTTTCTTTCCAGAAATGGAGTGAGTTAAAAGGACCACATTTCGGGTTTTCATTTCTCCAGAAGAGTCATTTTAGCAGTAAATCCTATAGGAAAACATATAAAATAAATGCATGGGTAGTAAGCCATATGGGATGCAGGTGGCGCAGTGGGTTAAACTGCTGTGCTGCTGGGCTGGTTGATCAAAAGGTTGCCGGTTCGAATCTGCACAACGGGGTGAATTCCCGTTGCTCCTTCCCAGCTCCTGCCAACCTTGCAGTTCGAAAGCATGCAAATGCAAGTAGATAAAAAGGTGCCACTTCGGTGGGCAGGTAACGGCGTTCTGTGCACCTCGGTGTTAAGTCATGCCGGCCACATGACCACGGAGACTGTCTGCGGACAAACGCTGGCTCCCTTGGCTAGGAAACGGAGATGAGCACCGCCCCCAAGAGCCAGACATGACTGGACTTTAATGTCAAGGGGAAACCTTTACTTTAACCTTTACTAGTAAGCCATATTAGTCTTAGTTAAGATAAGACCTATTGAAACGAATAGGACATGTCAGTCATGACTTATATCAGTCCCATTCATTTTAATAGGGTCTACTCTAAATTGGTCTAACATTGCATACTACCCAGTGTATGCAGACATCATATGCAAAGAATATTTGTCTGAATTTTTTGAAACTGTGGATTGTGAAGCCTGGTCCAGTCCACATTTATAGATGTTTTTCTCTAAATAGAGTAGAATATGGAAGTAAATTTGGATCCAGATCTGATTGATTCCAGAATGAGGACTCCTAACACTAGATAGGAGTTGCACAGCTATTTGTCTTTTCTTCCTTAAAAGTTTTGTTTGTTTGTTTGTCCTGGTCTGAAAAAAGATGGAAGAAGCAGTCGGAGGATAGAGAAGGAGTACAGATTGAAGACAATGCAGTTTGGACCCCCTAAATGTCCGTGATTGAAACATCACAATCACATAATACAAGTTTGATTTGCTAGATCCTTTTCAGAGCAACTTTTTATCTCAGTTATAGGAGCTTGGGGTCTTCTGAATGTGGCAGAAGTCCTGCCGCACTGTCAGGATGCAAGAAACTACCATGAAAGGTGCTTCAGCTATGAGTCCAGCGCAGCCCTTCTGCCAGCAAAAACCTAGCAATAGAACTGGGGAGAAGTTCTGCTGGGGCAACTACAGCAGCACATGTATTAATTTATTACATTTCTACTCAACCCAATAACTAAAATTCTCTCCCACAAACATAATTGGAGTCTTGAGGTGAGTTGTGATAAATCCCCCACAATTTAAAAATGCCCACACACGGTCACATTACTCATGGAATCCCAGGTTAATCGTAGGTACATATTCAGGGACAAACGAATGAAACTCCAGGCTGTACTTTACTTTTGCTTTGATGCAACTCATGTTTCATTTTAAGACTCGGTATTCAGGTTTCTCTTGGTTGCTCCTGGGGAGAGGGTATCTCTCAATTCACACTGCTGTGCAGCTCTCCCTTTGCAAAGCTTATCTTAATCCGCAGAGGAGCTGTGCTCTTGCAAGGCAGGTAGAGGCTTAATTCCCACATCTTCTTTTCTACCTGAAAAGTACAATACATTGCATCTATTCTGAAGGGCGCACATAGGCAAATACCAGCTTTCCACCTTAAAATAAGGAGATGTCTGATAGCCATGGAAGAGGCAGCCAGGAAGGGAACTCACCCTTCCATCTTTCCATCTGCAGGTTTATTTTAGCTTCAGCTTCCTAGCTGTGCAGATGATCAGAATGGGAGAAGCTAACCAGGTAAGTGGAACATGGGCTGGGACCAGGTGCTCCTTCTCCCCTTCTTTTCAGGCCAAGAGTTTGGCAGTTCCCTGGGAGAGACGCCACATAAAACCCAACCCAGGGTACCTGCTACACAACCGTCATTTTGAACACATTGATCAAGAACTCGCATTTTACTGGTCACAAATATTCATAATAATGAGCCTAGAAATCATGATACTGTTATTTCGTGTCGTCATCTTTTTTTTCCCTACTAGCTCAGTGTTGTGCCTTTTCCAACAACACTGACATACAGAAATTAAGGAGGTGACATTTTCTAGACAATTGGAAATAAAGTAATAGGAAAGTTTTCAACCACTTAATTTATGTGCGTCAGACTGCTGGGAAAGGTACAGGAGGGGAGCTGGTAAGACTCTTAATGGTTCTGACATTAAACAGTCAGTCTCATGTCATTAAAATTACTCATGTCCAGTAGCCAAAGGGCAGGAGACAGCAATCTCCCTGGGAATTAAATTCAGTTTCTGATGCTCATGGAAAAATGAAGGGGCACTCCTTGAATTAAAAACAGGAAGTGTGCCACCTACTACTTATGAGTAGTTCAATGAATATGAACAAAAGTACTCATGACTCAACTTGACCCTCTCTAAAAATATGAACTATAAATATAAGCTCAGACAAATGTGTAGAAAAATGAATTTATCCACTACTGAAACATGACTTTTCAAGATAGTGGGTTAGATCCTGATTTAGTCAGAGTATACCTGTTGGAATTAGTAGGAGATATATGATGCATCATATAGAAATAGGAACATAGAAACGGAGTACGTCAGAAGGGGTCTTCTGGGCCATCTAGTCTGACCCTTGGCTCCAGACAGCTCCATTCATGACATGCCTACCAAGCACATGTATCCTTAAATACCCTCACCATTGGGGCTTCAACCACCTCCAGTCCTAACTGTCAGGAAGTACTTCCTGGCATCCACCCTACATCTTCGTTCCCTGAGCTTTGGCCTCCACTGTAGGGGAAAAAAGGTCATGATCCACCTCTGTGTGGCACCCTCTCACATACCTGTGTGTTGCTATTTGGTCCCTTCTGAGTCTCCTTACAAGGTTAGAAAGACTCAGCTCCCTCAATCTCTCCTCATATGGCTTACCCTGCAAACCAGCCACCATCATAGTGGCTGCAATTATTCCAGCCTTTCTATATCCCTCTTGTAATGAGGGACCCAGAATTGAACACAATACTCCAGTTATGGGTGCACCAGAGCAGTATAGAGTGGTGGTAGCACCACTCTCAATCTAGAAGCCACACTTCTGGCTATGCATCCAGGGGTGGCATTCACCCTCTTGACCATCGCCTGCAGTCGACCAGTACCTTGAGATCCCTTTCACAAGTGCTGCTCTCCAGCCACTTGACCCCTAACCTGTACTTATGACAGCTATTCCTATGCCCCAAGTGCAAGACCTTGCACTTATCTGCATTAAGCACCATCCTGTTGTCCCCAGCCGACTTCCACAGTCTGTCCAGATCCTTCTGGATCCAGAGTACCTGCTCCTCAGTTGTGGCCACTGCCCCCATTCTAGTATCATCTGCAAATCTGATCAGCAGACTGGTCATCCCCCCTTCCGGGTCACTGATGAAAAGACTGAACAGGATCGGTCCCTGGACAGAGCCCTGGGAGGACCTGCTCATCACTGGCCATCATCCTGATGATTCCCCACCAAGAGTTACCCTCTGCTTTCGATCTGTCAGCCGTGCCCTAATCCATCGGACAGTGCTTTGGTCTATCCCCAAACTCCTCAATTTCTCAACCAGGTTATAATGTGGCACTTTGTCAAAGGCCTCAAAAATGGAGGCTAATGGGCGCGAGAGTAACCCTGCCAACTCTTGAAGTACCCTCAGGTGTAACCCATCAGGGCCTGTGCCTTTGTAATGTCCAGTGCCCTGAGGAGCTCCTCAACTTCTGGGTGAGGGGGTTGACTCTAATCTGTGCCCCTAAATCTATAGCTTCATTCAGTCCCCCATGTGGATCTCCCCTATCGTGCTTTGCGGAGAACTTTAGAGGCAAAATAATCACTTAGTCTCTGCGCCTGTCACCAAATCCCCTTCCTCTTTATTAAGAGGTCCCACTGCCTCTCTCTCCTTCCTCTGGCCATGTGATAGATGTAACAGAAGCAACGCATTGCCCACCCCATTGTCCGCATGACAATGGCCTTTGCCAGCTGGCAGAAGATCGGCAGAGGGGGAGTGAACCTTCTTGCCTTGGCATGGAAGCAGCCACCAAGAAGCCCTTCTGTCGTAACGCCACCAAGTGAACCTCGGAAGGTGGCAATCTCAGTAGGAGGGCCTCTCCTGACAGTCTTACTCCTCAGGGAGGCTTTGAGGGGAGGAGGCATTCTTTCAGCCTGCCTGGTCCCAAGCCATATGCAGTTTTATGGCCATAACAATCACCTTGGAATCTGGCCAGACACATATTAGTAGCCAGTGAAACTGCTGAGACAAGGGAGTCACGTGCCCCTGCGCACACAGGCAACCCCCCCCCCCCCAGTCCCCAGTCTGGCGGCAATATTCCAAACAGGATGCAACTAAGGTATGTGGCCATCCCAGAGATCTTTGCTTTTTTCCTAAAACCCCAAGATCTGCTAAACCAAATCTGATGTTCTTCATTGTTTGCAGGTGAGGCTGTTATGAAGCCAGTACCCTAATTCATTTATGGAAATGTACAGGGTGTCCCGATCATGCTGTCTTCCTCTCATAACTGTCCCATGTTTCCCAACCACGTTTTCCCATCTGTTCTAAAAGAAAGGGGAGAATAGCTGCACGACGTGAGTCACTCCGTGATCTATCAATAGATTCAGAGCTACCTTCTGCTGCAGATGTTGATCTGCTATTGTAAGATAATAAGGTTTTATTACTGCTCTCGGTAAACACCTCCTCCCTCACTTTGAAATCCACGGAAGCCAGTTATTGCAGTCTAAATAAATGCTTCAGACAGACAGAATAAAGCCTTCCGTGGTGTGTAATGGAGCAGCTTGAGCAGTGGGTCCTATTCTGCATTGCAGATGAAATGAACATAAAATTAGCATGAACGTTTTCTTCACAGTCTCCAATAGAAAAGACTGTGTGGACTGATTAACAGTTCTTCCTAAACAAACAGCAACAAAAGTGGTGATCTTTAGAATAAAACTGTCAGTGAGCCAGTTTGTAGTTTGGGTTTGGATCGTCTGCCAGCCACCTTAGCAACGGCCGGCCTCACCTGACAATCTTTACTGATCAGATTATGGTTTTGGGAAGAGCAAAGTGTGAGAGCTGTAGCAACAGAGCTGCCAGCTGCACACATTCTTTTGTTTGTTGTTCAATGCCAGGGTTTTTGAGGTTTATTCTAGGCACCGTTTTCAATAGCATAAGATTCTTAGTCCTGAGAAAGTTTGCATAAAATTGCAGCCTTAAGCTGCAGTTAAGCACATTTACTTGGAAGTAAATCCTACTGAACCCAATGGGATTCAAAAATACAAACATTCATAGGATGTACTGTAATTTGGGTTAAGATGCTAATTCTGTAGAGACTTTCATGACTGTTCCATAGAATCTTTCAAGAGACTACATACAGAACTTGGAGAGGAAATAAGCAAATTCATATTGCCTTGTAAGCAGTCAAGGGTCATAACCAGCTACCCTGCTCCCTTGCACTGACATCACAGTGTCATCCTACACTGCAGGAACTGGGCTCTGATCCATGTATTTTTCCAAGAAGTCTGAATTTGGTTAGCTCACTTAAGATTAGGACAAATTTTATCCTTAAGCATCCATGCTCAATGCACAGCATGTAGAACTGCTTCCCCTAAGTTCCCAGATCACTTTGCATTCATGATCTCAGTAATCCTTGCTTTAACTGTGTAAGTTAATATCATCCACATGATTCAGGCTGTGATTAAGGCTGGGAGAGCAGTGACTGCAGCCTCCCACTAGGCTCAATGGGACTTACTCCTCGTAAATGGCTTGAGCGTTGCCAGAGCCAACATCTGGGTTCCAAATTAGTTTCTGTTCACAGACCCAAATATATTTAGGAGGAAACTAGCTGATGAGAAGCACCTCATTCCATATATTTCTTCTTCATTCTCCAGGTTGTTATAAAGACAGACACATCCTCTCTTGAATTGGAGTTCTTGTCACTGGACGACCTGGAACATGCTGTCATCCATATGGTCACATCCCTTAAGAAGGTCATTCCAAATTCTTCACCAGGGTAAGGGATTCGTGTGTTTACAAACCATTAAAACCTAAACCTGGATATTTTAGCCTCTTGACATGGCCTCCCAGCATCTCCAGACAGCACAGCGTGGCCCTGCCACCTGTGGATTGCAGAAGTTGTTGTCCAACAAATCTGGAGGGTACTAGGTTGGAGAAGCCTGTTTGTGAGGCCTTAACTGCAAGATATAGGCAGGATGTTGGTGCAGGATGTCAGTAACCAAGACTAAACCAGCGTGATGGGCTGGGTTTTTATTAAGCAGTTGTATAACACTTGATTATGCTCAGTCCAGCACAAGCATTCAGATATTTATCCAGAAGTCACTCCCACCCCACTCGATGGTTCTTGCTCCAGGGAACTGGGTGGCTTCGCATCAAACAACAAGCCACAGTGGTGGTGTTGGAATTTTGTTTTGGTTTTACCATGGCTGGACTGTCGTGTCAACCCAAAGCCAGCCTGGTATTTTAGCATGGCATATTTGGTCTTTCGGATCCACATACAAAAACAATAGCCTGATGTATGGTTTCTCAGTACCGTGATGGCTTGCTGGGTCACTCAGACCCTGCAAACATGACTAACTGGGTTACCAAGAGAGCCGCTTGGCAAGGCTGGTCCATTGCTGCTTTTGCCAGAAAGCACCACCGTTGACCTTTTGTGTGGCCGCCAAAGGCATTCCATTCTGCCTGCCTAAAGGTCCTTGGGGCAGGAGCAGGTGATCAGCCAGGCAGCACTGTGGAAAGAAGAGCAGTGCCGTTCCGCTGATCCCCCCACTGCCCTGCTGCTGCTTTGCAGATGCCAGGTTGGGAATGCCTCTCTGGCCAACAGGAGCAAGAAAGGGGGGGCAACTTCTCCCTCACTGCTGCTGCTTGCAAAAAAGATGCTAGGGTGGGTGCCAGCTTAGGGGCATTACTCTGGCAAGCAGGAGCAAGAGAGGGGATTAACGGGGGTATCGGCTGAAGGACCACCCTCCCTCCTCCCCTGCTTCAGGGCATGTGAGCTCTGCTTGTGCAACAGAGACTGTGGGACTGCCGCATCCTACTGGCCAAATGCACTTGGCTGGCTCTCATGACTGTCCAAGAGGAGAAACTTTGTCCTCCCGCAGCGCCTCCTCCTCCGGAGGGCAGAGAAGGAAGGCTATGGGAGGATGGGGGAGAGTGATCACCATAAACCTGATCATCTGTCAGGCACATTGCGGTAAGAAACTGCAGAGTGTGATAACCACACCAGCTTGCTTGTTGTGACCTGTGAACTCAGGCACTGAGAAGAAGATTGCCGATTCAGCTACATTTTTGCAATGGGAACGGACAGCCTCCAGCCTACAGGCCAAATTCCCATGTAAGCCCAGGGGGTTTTGCCTCCCCAGGCCCAAACCTCTCCAGGCCCAACCTGCCCCCGCCCCCCCAGTGGAGAAGAATCCCAGCTATTACCATGGACCACTGACCAGTGATGGCAAAGAGGGTTCCCCGTAATGCCCTCCTGGCCATTCCATCAGGATGGCAGATGGCAAGGAAAAGAGGTGGCCAGCCTGGCTGGTCCCGGGGTGCCTTTGGTGGTGGGTGGGGCGGAGTGTGATTTTGGTGAACAGGGCAGGGCTTTGGGATTCCCCAGCATCCTTTGGATCACTTTGCTAGATGGCGATGGCTGACCGAAACGGGCAAAAAGGCTTCTGCGCCCGTGCTTACAATCCCTCTAGCACCTCGTCTTGTGCACGGGGCTGCGAGTCCTCCTATTAGCTTTGAGTGCTTGCAGTGTTCTCATTAACTCATGACTGGGGACTTCCTGGTTCACAGCTTGTCGTTTCTCTGTGCGTTTCTATTTGAATACAGTAAAATCCCTTCAGGGAACTACCGGAACTAAGCAGTTTCATTCTTTTATTGCTCAAGAGGCAAAAGAGCCATAGCTGAATGGCAAAGCGCGGGCTATGCAGTCAGGAAGTGCTCCATTTGAAGTCTGGCAGCATCTCCAGGGAGAAGGATCAGGTGATGGGAAAGGCCCTTCTTTGCCTGAGACCTTGGAAAACCTGCTGCCAGTCAAAGGGCACAACTCAGGGCAAAATGCACAAGCGATCCTACGTGGTATAAGAGCCACGATCGCTCAGACCAAAGGTCAGCCCAGCTCAATGAAACCCGCAACAGACCTTTAGCAGCCTACCGTCCTCGCAGGGGTCACCTATGGCATGCGCCTGATGACTCCCCAGGGACCCCGAGTTACTGCATTTACTGCGCTCACCCAGTAAAGAGCCTTCAGCGTGTTCGCTCCCTTTTTCTTGGGCTCCCTGCCTCCGGGGACCAGGCAGGCACCAACACCATGTTGCTCCAGCGTGTCCTGAAACATCTTTATTTCAGGAAAATGTACGTGGCAATTTTCATTAATATTCTATTTTAATATTTTACTCTATTTTATTTATTTTGTTTCTTGATAGTTTACTACTCTGGAATCTGTGTAGGTGTCAAGTAGCACATACATGCTGTAAAGCTGTGATTCCACGCACCTGTCTCCTTCAGCCCTAAGACTGTGAGGCACAGAGATGGACTCCTCTCAAGCAGTGAAATGGTGGCCCTTTAGCAAATGCGCAGGGGTTCATCTGTGTTTGGGGGGTTCTGCACAAAGCTGTGCGTGCATTTATTTCAGAGACTGACCCAAGCACATACAGGCTAAGAGCAGACCCTGTTGCCACAGCGCTTCATCCCACGTGTTGGGGCCCATTTCTATGTCGGATATTACCTGGAAAGAGTTAGTATGCGGTGCAGCTTGCCCTAACTCGGTGCCTGCAGAAGTGCTGGACTGCAGTTCCCCTTGGTTTGTACGCGCAGTTCAACGTCTGTTGAGGGCACCTCGTCAGTGAAGGCCAATATAGCAACTATACCTCCCATCTCATTTGTTTTCCTAAATGAACGGTTGGCTCTCCCTTCAGAAAGTCAAATACATTGGCACTCAGGCCTTGTACCTGTAATAGCAGAGCAGAAGAGGAATTCCAGCAAGGCTGCCTTCGCCTACTGGCAGTGCTGATTAGGGTTTCCAGATGCCAAAGACAGCAGAGCTCCGACACTCTTCAGAGTTGTAAAGAAGAGGGAATTCAGCAGGCACAACCCCCATTACAAGCTACAACTGCAGAAATTCACTCTAAAGTGCAGGACATCCTAATGTTCTCTTTCCTGTTGTACTATTATAAAGAATCTTGCAGAAGATTTGACCCTGCTTTGACTTTTTCACATTCGGTTGTGTTTCAACCTGGAACTCAAATGGATTTAACTGCCGTTGTTACCATTTGATGCACACAAGCAACTTAACACTGTGAAGGTACAAAATATTTTATTATGGCACAAAAGTTAAGTAAGCAAAAACAAAATGGCATTTTTTGGTTGCCTAAGTATTCACACTCCTGTTCAATACTTGTTAGAAGCAGCTTTGGCAGCAGTTACTGCAAATCTTCTTGGGAAGCCTGTATCAGCCCCTGGATCCTTCCTTCAGTGTTTGTCCACTCCTTCTGGCAAAACTGCCCCAGCCCTGTCACTGGTGAAGAGCACCTTTCAAGTCTTGAGGACTGGGCTCAGCCCCATGTCCCTTGAAAGTTGAAACAGGTTTTCCTCTAGAATTCACCTGCATCTTGCCTCAGTCCTGACCAGTTTCCCGGTCACTGCTGAGGAGAGACAGCCCCGCATCATGCTGCTTCAACTGTGAGATGGAATTTTCAGGGCAAGAAGCGCTGTTGGGTTTGCATTCCAAAGAGGGCTTTGTAGCAAGCCCTGAACATTCAGCATTGGTCTTGTCAGGCCAGCGGCCCTTTTGTACATGTTTGCGGTCTCTCTCACATCTTTTTGCACACTCCAAACTGGCATCGATAGGAGTTTGTTTCATTTATAGCTTTCTTCTCACTGCTCTTCCATAAAGCCCAGCTTTGTGGCACATGCAGGTAATAATTACTTTGTGGATGGTTTCTCCCATCTCAGCTGCAGCTACATCAGAGTCACCACTGGCTTCTGGATTGCTCCTCTGATCAATGTTCTCCCCACCTGGTGGTTGAGTACTGGTTGTCAGCCTTCTCTAGGCAGAGTCGCTGTTAAGCCATACTCCATTGTGTAATAATGGGTTTATTATTATTACACCCATCCAGAAGATGTTCATACTGTAGTTTAGGATATTTTTGGTAACCCAACCATCATGGGTGCTTCTGCACAACTTTATCCTAAAGTTATTTTGATAGCTCCTTGGCCTTCATGATCCTGCTTGTTCAAATAAGCTCTCCAGCAAACTCCGGGGCCTCCCAGAAACAGGCGCATTCAATCTGAGATCAGGTGGCCCTGAGAGCAAGTGGCCATTCAACAGGGAACAATTCAGCGTGTGTCTTCTGGAGGCAGCAGGTTGCGAGAGAGCTTATTTTGGCAAGTCACAGCAAAGGAAGTGAATACTCACTCAGCTAACAACTTGTGACAACTTGTTTTGGTTGGCTTGAAGCATGTGCCACAATAAAAATATTACGCACCTTCACAGGTTTGAGTTTCTTGTATATATCAAATGGCAACAATGCAAATTCAAACACTTTCAAGTCCAGGTTGCAAGACAGGAAAATGTGGAAAAGGCAGTGTGTGGCAGGATGTGAATACTTCCACAAAGCACTGTAAGTAGAGGAGCCCCTGATTCGCCTTCATATCTGGTCAACTGTCTATTGTATTCTCTGGTTTTTGCCTAATGTGCAGGATACAACTCTCTAGGTTAGCCTTCTCTTACACCTTGACCCAAGGAACAGCATAGAAATAAGTGGTATGAAGAGCTCCAGTAACATACTAAAGGCACAGGGTTAGCATTAGGGTTAGTAAGAGGAACAGAAAAGGGGGCAACCTTAGCGTGCTTCCTCATTCTGGCCATGAAAGCTGAATAATACTATAGTGGTAATAAACCTGGGACTGCTTGAAATAATCCTAAATCAGGACCTGCCAATGAACCAATCTTTCTTGGAAAGGCTTTTGTGCTTTTCACATCCCCAGCACAGGAAAACTATTGAATCACAAACTTCCCAACTACATCTCCCTTCAGCTTTTCTTCTGCCTCTCAAGGTTGGCAGACAAACGTCTCCTTATTGCACTCAGAAATTTTAACTGTGATCTGCAAAAAGGACATTTGACACTACCATGACATCACCTTGTAAGAGAATGCCCAGCCAAGGCCTAACTTCAAATGTACTTTGAGAATTCCTATTAATGAGCTCGAATCCCAGCCAACCTGCCCACTTCTTTTTAGAGAAAGAAACCCAGTTGAGCATGACAGAGGTCTCATTACAAAAGCCCTCATCATAATGTTGCTTGCTTTTTTTAATGCAAATATAATTGTTTTTCTTTGTATTAAAGAGACCTACTCCAGAATGCCTCCCCAATCTTGCTTGGTGAAATTCAAGGGATACTGGATTCCTTGGAAGAGATGCTGAAGGAAAACCAAGGCCCATGTGGTAATCTTTATGCATGAAAATTACCGGGTGGACATAGACATAGACAGAGAGCAGGTAATCATTAAGTCGTAGGGAGGAGGCGAAGTTAGCCTAAACATATTTTTCATTTGGTAGTAAAACAAGATCTTACTTCTTTCAGAGAGTGGTTAGTCTGACGCTTAATCACTTTTGCTAATGCATTGTCCATACTTTCAAACACACATATAGGAAACAATTTGGATTTCATGTCATCTCAGAACAACAATACATTGGAAAATGAATAGGTGTAATTGTAGCCTTAGAGATGGAAGCACCACTAAGGCCAGTGATGGATATCACTTTCTGGGAAGCATTTTATACGCAACGTGCACTAGACAACGCACGCACGCACCCACACACATAACATTTTCCAATTCTTGAAGTTTTTCCTAGCTGTCACAAAATGATAACATTATTTTTAAACCATGTTAAAAGACAACATAAAATTAAAAAAACAGTTCTAAGTGCAGCAGTGTGACAATAAAACAGGAGATAAAATCACACATAAAGCTACACATCCAATTATTAAATGTGAAAATATGAAAGGGTTGAACAAATGAACTGTTATGTGTATTAGCTACAGATGGGATGCTGAAGGTTCTACAGCTGCAGAGGAGTAGGATGCCGAAAAGGGTAGCTGGCTCCTCTTTTTTATATATATATATGCATGCTATATATCACAGAATAGATTTTTTAGCAATGATAGGTGTTCTCCTACTTTTATGTCAATTAAGTGTTCACGACTATTGGATTAAGACTGGAGAGACCCAGGCTCAAATTTCTTCACATCATTGAGCCTCTTCTTCTCATTCTCTCTCTCTCTCTCTCTCTGTCTCTCTCTGTCTCTCTCCCCAATCTACCTCACAGGGTTGTTGTGAAAATAATATGCAGAAAGAATTAATCATGTACAATGCCCTGAGCAAAGGTTATACTTTTATACTTTTATAAAGGTTATACTTTTAACCTGAAGAATGTCAGGTTAAAAGTATAATAAATAAGCTTTCCTTTTAAAAATTCTCTTTTATATGCAAATAGGAATCTGCATCTCAGGCTTGGATCGAAAGATCTAACTCTGTGTGTGTGTGTGAAGTGGGAGGTGTTACTAAGAATTATTCTCATCAAACTGCACTATTTTTGGCAAAATAACTCCTTGACTCACAAGATCTTCCAATCTTGAAATTTTCTTGTTCTGCTTTAATTCTGCTTTTCTACATTCTGTTCAAAACGTGTCACACATGCTATCTCGGTAAACCTTAGAAAACCTCTGTAAGGAAAGTCACTCTCTGAGAAAGAGCAGCTTACCTAAGTCCACCCATGGAGCCTGTGGCAGCGGTGAGCTTGACATCCAGGAGTTCCCATTTCATGCATTGCTTCTTGATCACTGGGCTACATTAGCTCTCAAAGGACTGTCTATCCATCATGTATCCCAAACACATCATGATCAAGCTCTTCATTTTCTTTACATGTTATCCTCTAGTAAGCTCAGGTTTATTCTTCAGCCTCTCACTATTTTCACAGCACCCCTGTGGGGTGAATTAGTCTCAGAGATATTCTTCAGCCCATGGTTACTCAGTGAAGCTAACTGCAGAGCAGGGATTGAACCCGGGTCTACTGTACATGGCCCTAATTTGAACCACCAGCGCACATTTTCCTTTAAAATTGTTTATCAGTGGGACCTTTAATGTACAGTGTGTCTTTATTTTGCTTGTCCTCTGAAGAGCCATCTGAGGTAGGCTTCTGGGATTCTGGTTCCACAGGTGGAAAGACAAATTGAGGCTGAGAGAGCAAAATACCCAAAGCCATGAATTACTTGGCCCAGCTCTGAGATTGAAACTCCCATTTCCAAGGTCCCTCTTACATAACATTTCTCTTTCATCCCTAAATGACTTGTTTTTCTATTTAGCAACGTGAGCGCTCCTTTCACAGAGACTTCTCCTAACATCCTTTCACATTTACAGGTGGATTTTCAAAGATTTATGCTGCCCTCTGCGATTACAGTGGCCTCCCTTTCCGACAGGAGATACAGTGGGTAAGGCAGAACATAAGGGAAGGGATGTGTAGTTTGTAGCAGAATAAGGAGCAAGTGTATTCCAGGTAGCTCTGACTGCTGCAAGCTGAGGTCCCAGCATTTCTCGCCACTGGGCAAACTGGCTGAGGCAGATGGGAGGTGAAATAAAAGGCACTGGAATGTACCAGCTTGGAGAAGGCTGTTCTAGTTGGTGTGTGTCAGCAGGTAATTCCAACTAAGAATGCCTGTAAGCAGGGCTTTTTTTGTCATAGAACACACCGGAACGGCGTTCTGGCACCTTTTTTTGACGGATTTTCCCAAGGGATTTTTCCAAGTGATTTTGAATCGCCCTGTCGGGCGTAGCAGATCAGCAGCAAAAATCATTAAATTAGTGCATGTGGGCTGCTTGTGCGTCCGCACTGATTGTGAGGGTGCTGCTCGGCTTGGGACGCTGCTCGGCTTGGGATTGGTTGTGTGGTTGCACGCTAAGTGCTTACTGCCGGCGGCAACCATTATGTTTGTGTGTATGTAGAGTGACTGACTACATGCAAAAGTAAATAAGTTCTTTATTTCAAAAAAAGTTGGTGAATTGAAAATCTTTTTTAGTGTAAAAGTGTGACCCCAAGATGTGAGTTCTGGCATTTTTTTTTTTTTTTACAAAAAAAGCACTGCCTGTAAGGATGCCTTTTACCAAATTACTGAAAGATGGATAACTCGAAAACTCTTCTATTATTATTATATTGCAAGCCGTAACATTTCTCTTATTTGGTTGTCTTTTATCCTCTTGTTCAACATCTCTCAGTGTGTCATGAAGTTCATGCAAGCTGAATGTACTCCTGTTTCTTCTGTTAATTGCTGCAAGCAGTTCAAAAGCACCCTTCCGGGATTCTCCTCTCCTGCCCCAGCTTGCTTCTGCACGCCCTGCTTCTGCACTGCTCGTAGCTGTTGCAGTTCCATCACTCTCTCTAGAAGCTCTTCCTCTTCGTTTGTTCCCTTTAGGGCGGACATCTGCAGCTCCAGTGCACGCACCTTTTCCTCCAGCAGGGCTAATAGCTTGCACTTGTTGAGGATGCACACCATGCTGACCTCAGGCAGGAAAAGCAACTGCACAGGTGTTGCAGGTCACCACCCCTGGGGAGTCTTCTTGGCCCATTCGTCCCGCTGCCTTGTTAATTCTAGCTTGCTGGGCCTCTGAAAGCGACCAGTGCGTCCCTGTCTTCCTTGGACGTTAACAACACAGTCCTACCAGTAAACAGGAGCACGTTACAAGGAAGAAAACAAAACAAAAAGGTGGGGGGGGATTAAGGGGAACAAAGTGAAGAGGAAAAAAGTTTTTAAAATAACAAAAAGTTAGGGACCTCCCCTGTCAAACGGCCTGCTCTCTTTGGTCTCTCACTCCCTGGGAGCTTGGCTGCTTGTATCCCAGAGTTCCTAGACCAGCTGGGGCTGCTTCCTCTGATCTAATACATAAACAAACAACTGCTCTTAGGACGAAACAAAAGCAGGCCTTGGAGATAGCCAAAGGATACTATGTTTTGATAGCTTCTTTGCAGGTTTTTGAATATGCTATTTTCCCCTTTTCCACTTTTGCAGGATGTGGATAATATCTATCAGAACCAGGAATGCAGGGAGTTCAACCTACTGGATTTCAACCATCTGCAGAGCCAGTGAGTGGGTGCAAAGGGTTTGTACGATACTGGAGTGGGATCATCACACCAGACAATGTTAAAATGTGGTGGAATGTGCAGAATCCTAAAGACTTCAGCTGTCACCCTGAAAAAGCATGTTTCTAAAAAATAAAAAATAAAAAAGCAACTAAAATGTCACCACTACAACAGAGATGCCGTGTTGCAAATCTCAGAAGCTGAAAAAGGCTATGTAGAACATTCAGGTCAAGGACGCAGAGGTCTTCTCTACATGCAGTATTTAATTTGTGGCTTCAGTAAAGCTTCTTTGGCCATTTTACTTGTGAGAAGATGATTATATCCTTTCAGTGTGTTTTTGTCCTAAGGTTTTTTTCCTCCTCTGCACTCCTAATGTTCTGTAACAAAACTACAAGATGGTGTTGCTGGAAAGCACAACTGTGCGAAATGTGTTGCCATTTTGTAGCATGATTGAAAATAATAGCTGACTGTTCTTGTTCTAAAAAGTTCACTAAAATGTCTGAAAACCTCAGAAGAGGCCCTGGAGTATGACAACATTGTGGAAAAGACCCACAGACTCTCTGAGTGTGGGATTGCAAGCATGCAATACATGCCTTCCATAAAGAAACCCTAAGCATCCGACACATTTGTTTCTTGGCTATATTCTATTCTGTTTTTCAGTCTGCTGTCTCCCAAAGTGTCTCATCTCAGTAAGAGACAGGCCCTGCCATTGGGCTTACAAGCTACAAAGAAAAGATGCTTTTCTCCATTTTCTTTTTTCTCTTTCGGGGTTGCGGGGAAGTGGCTTTTTGTGTATTTACCCTCTTCTGCTCAAACATGGCACCACCTGGAGGTCATAAAGCAGAACATCAAGAACGGAAAAGCTCTTGTTTTCAGTTCTGGGTGTCTGCTATTTGATGAAACCAAAAGTTGACGTATTGATTACCAGCCGTGTGTAGAAAAACTTGGTATCTGTACTTAACTGCATTGTTGCTTGTCCTGCTGCAGGGACCTGGCTCTTAGTGTGGCCGGCTTGTCGTATAATCAGTGGTTCACAAGGCTGCATTGCAAAGACTTCAAACTGGTGAGTTTTGGTGACGGGTGTGGGAGAAGAGCAAGATGCCCCCAGCTGCCAGTGACATCTGTGGGCTTCAGCCTGTTACAGACCAGCCTGGTGCTCTCCAGATGTTACAGACCAGTGGTTTTCAACCTGTTCACAATTGGGGACCAGTAAAAATAGGAAAATTATTTTGGGGACCTGTGAGGCAGAAATAAAAAGCATCATATACATATAGTATTTTGCGTATTAGTTTTTAAACATAGTAAATTCAATGAAAATTCTCTAAAATAACCAGAAACTGAGCAGTAAAAATGCCAATAAAAGAATAAAATACTGAAATTAAACATAATCAAATACAACTGAAATTTTCAGAGAGCAATATGTAATTCAAATAAGGCTACTGGAAAATCTGCTGTTGCTTCTTTTTGAGGATTACTAAAATTTACAATGGCAAAATATTCAGTCAATATAAATGCTATACTATGCTTATAGAAAATCCAAACACAATATTAACAACAGAGCAATGCAAAATCAAATGAAGTTACTAAATACAGTAATATTCATAATGTTAAATACTGAAATACAATGACCCCCCCCCATCCCCAGACCCGCATAAGCACCAGCACAGATTGGGTGAGAAAACACACGCAGCACAAGCCCGCCTCAGCATTTCTCTTCCCAGCGGAAAAAAGACAAGACCCGTCTTCATAGCATGAAGACAAGACCCGTCTTCAGTGTGGTGTAGTGGTTAAGAGCGTGGGACTGGGACTCAGACAATCTGGGTTCTAGTCCCTGCTTGGCCATGGAGCCAACTGGGTGACTTTGGGCCAGTCACAGCCTCTCAGCCCAACCTACCTCACAGGGTTGTTGTTGTGGGGATAAGTGTGGAGAATGCCAGTGTGGTGTAGTGGTTAAGAGCGTGGGACTGGGACTCAGACCATCTGGGTTCTAGTCCCTGCTCAGCCATGGAGCCAACTAGGTGACTTTGGGCCAGTCACAGCCTCTCAGCCCAACCTACCTCACAGGGTTGTTGTTGTGGGGATAAGATGGAGGAGGAGAATGATGTAAGCTGCCTTGAGCCCTTTCAGGAAAAAGGCAGGATATAAATTGAAAAATAAATAAATAAAAATAAAATAAATAGCCCCACCCAGTGCCACCGCTCCCATTGAGCTGCCTCTTTCCTTCCCTGCTTCCTCGGCGGAAGAAGAGGTGGGGAATCAGCAGTGAAAGCGCAGCCACCCCGTGCTGGTCCTGGCCAGCGAGATGCGACTGTCAGGCATGCACACAACGGGCAGGAAATGCTGGCGGACCGGCAGTTGAAAACCACTGCCATAGACAACTTCTTCTATGGCCAATGGGCAGGGGTGGGGATCTGCAGCCCCAAATATCTGAAGGGTGCCAAGTTTGGGAAGGCTGCCATGGATCTTTTGGGATGTAAGTGAGAAATTGCTTGTGGCAAAGAGAAGCACAGGGGTAGGGCCATAGCTCGGCGTTCAGTCTCCCCACGCATGCATAAGGCCCAGTCCGCCATTCCCAGCTGAAGACTCATGCTGAAAGACTTTTGTCTCAGACTTTGGAAATTTGCTTGCGGTCACAGTAGGCAAGTTGGACATGCAGACGTGGTTCACATATAATGCCAAGTTGTGGATTGTTTAACCCATTAATTAGTGGGGCCACACCAGCCCAAGTGAATAATCAACATCCCAGGGATGCTTCATTGCTGAGTTGATACAATGCGCAAACTCAGAATTCAGAGTTGTTGAAGAAGAAGAAACAATCCACAGTTTGAACCCAGCACGAAACCATGGTTCCTCTGCAACTATGCTTTAAACAACTCATGGGTTGTCATTACATACAAACCTGGTAAAAACAGTTGCCTGTGCTTGTACTGCAAGTCATTTAAGGACTGCCAGGGGAGGATGAGTAAGAACAGGGGAATAAAGAAAAAGGCATTTCCATGTATAGCCTTAAATTATATTGCTGGTTATGAACAAGTTGTGGGGATTATTGCTTAATAAGTTGTTTGCTGTTTCAGTCACTGCTTCCAAGTTCTTGGGTGACTGGTCCTGCCTCTTGCAGGATCTTGACAGTATTTTTGTTTTCTTCCGTCTCAGAGTCTGGATATCCTGGAGCAGATCCTCCATGTGCTCAGTAAATCAGTAACTTTGGAAGAGCTGGTATTGGAAAACTGTGGCTTGAAGGTGTAAGGAAAGGGGTTTGCTCTTTGATTACCACTAACTTGTGAATCAGTTAATACATAAAATGCTGGTTGCTCTTGGAGTGGGATATTGCCCGACTGCAGGTAAGCTTCTTTCCCATCAAGCCAGCAGAAGGTTCATCGCACATGAATGCCAGTCCTGGAAATGAGCAAGCCAGTTATTCTGGACTGAGTGAAATATTCTGCCAAAGAGATGGCCACTCGAGGAATGGCATCTGAGCTGGTGAATCAGATTTGTTGGCATGGGTCTGTTTATGTAAAGCCACATAAAATTACATAAGGCTTAGTAATAGCTTGGAACAAACCAGCACACTTGCTCTAGTTTTCAGCAATGTGTGTATGCGCAACAGGTGCCGCCTCTTATGATGTTGCTGCCATCTGTAATTTTTATAAGCACTTTTAAGAAAAAGCCTTGTAAAACTTTTCAGTGTCTTGCCCAATTAATCAGATGCCCTTTTATCAATAAAATCTCATTTTAATTTGGCTGACTAGGAATAATGAGAATTGTAGTCTAACACATCTTAAAGGGCTAGGGAAACCAGAGGAAGGAGAACACTGAATGCGAATGGTGCTTTGGGGCAATCCGGTAGATGTTATCTTGAATTCTTAGAGAATGTTCAGATCTATTCATTACAAAATATGCATTCTCCACAGGACCAGAAAACCACAGCAGAGCTCCTGCAAGACACACCTGACCTGAATGTTTTAATTCAGTTAACACTTTAGTCTGCAATCATTTTATAAAATTTGTCAGAAATTCTTAACCACCGAATCCCATGGAAGATAGACAAGCATTGTGCCAGTCACAATGAGGTGGCAGATAAAAGCAATGTGGCACACGCCAGCACATACACTCAGAGCAAGAAAATAAATAATATAGCTATTAATATCAATTTTCCTCTTTCATGCCTACTGCTGTAATAAGTAGAATAGCATGTGACCTTCTCTGATCGTTTGTTTCTCCCAGCAAGAGGGCAGAGAGCACAGGTGTGGGTTTAAAAGCAGATTCACAGGGGTGTGCGGCCTGATGGTGTTCAGTCAGGCTGACTTCCAGAGTCACTATGGGGTTCTGCTTGCTCACCAACGTCCACATTTAGGGGTCCACAATTTTGCTTGCCGTGGCAAGTGTTCCACTACCCTCTGCTGCGTGTGCCCAGCTGCAGTCTTGGAAATGACGCTGTAATTAGGGGTTGTTATGCGGTTATGCAGCACTTTGGAAGTTCTCCGAACAACTGCCTGTTCCCTCCTCCACGGCCCTAATGTGGCAGGGCGGGCTGCCCTCCCTGGAAGACTCCTCCTCTGAGGGGAGCTAGAGTTCCCAGGAACAGATGCCACCAAGGAGCCATGCGTGGCATGAGATCTGGAGGCGCTGGCACTATCAAGGGAGCTGCTGCTACTCAAACCCCACTGGAGCTGGGGAACTCGCCTCAGCAGTAGAGGCTGAGGAATCACCCCCTTAAGAAGCAGGTCAACAGAGCCCCTTTAAGAACACTGCTTAATTCCTTGGGAGCAATGAGAAAGGCCCCCCCTCCTGGGTAGGAGTTTTGCTAGAGGCCCTATAAGGCAATGCAGCTGAGCCCTGGGTGGGGCTCAAGAAGCTCAGTCTGTATCAGCTTTAAGCTTCAGTTTAGCCAGTTCCTTCCATTTCAGTGCCTCATTTCTTGTGTTTCACACTCACCTAGTGCTTCTCCTTGGGGCCACAGCCCCTTGGGCTGCTGCTTGACTCTGTTTCTAGACTGTATATTGACTCTGACTGCTCGACTGTCCCTTGACCTTTGCTTCCACCCTGACCACTCCTGCCTTAGCCTGATCCCATGTGAGTGAAGCCTTTGTGCTTGACCATTTGCCTGTTCTGCTGCTTTGCCTTTTGGATTGTCTCCTGATTTCCTTTAATCCTGACTCTGACTCCGTCAATGCGGGAAAAGGGGGAATCTTAGATTTGCTTTAACACTGAGCTTCGGGAGTGCGTCAAGTGCCTTGGTAACAGAGAGCACAATCACCCCTGCGAGGGCCGGGTCTTGCTTTCTCAGAAGACGGTTCCAAGAGCAACCCTGCTTCCCTCATCCCCTCTTCCTCGTGGGAGGAGAGCAGGGAATTGTCCCTAGTGCTGCACTTAATTCTGGGGGGGTATTGTGCAAGGGCGAGATTCCCGATGACCACAAGCTTTTGGTTGGCCACACTCTGTGCGCCCCTAGTTTTGTTCTGTTGTGGTGGAGCTGCTGCTTATTGTGTGAACTCTCTTCCTTTGCAGTGATTTTGCTCAAGAGATGGCCCAGGTGCTCCATGATCATCCAGACTCTGCCTTAAACACAATTGATCTCTCTGGAAACCTGCTAGAGGACCGAGGTAGTGCTCTCCTGACCTTCACAGTAGTTACGTACTCTGTCAGATTCTGATCCAGTGTGGTGCAGTGGTTAGCGTGTTGGACTGGGATTCTGGAGATCTGGGTTTTAGTCCCTGCTCAGCCTTGAAGCTGATGGGTGATTTTGGGTTAGTCTCAGCCTAACCGACCTTACAAGTGTATTGTGAGGATAAAATGGAGAGGAACAGGAAGATTACATGAAGGGAGAATGTCTGCAGAAAAGACCCTACTCTAGTTTCCCCATGCAATTTACAAACCAAGTTTAAATTTAAATTTAAAATCCAAGTTCTAAAACACACGGATAGCCCACATGAATAAAACGGAAGACATTGGTCCTCACATGCACGAAGCAGGTTTAGGCAACTCTTTGGGGCCTCGGACACATTTGGCAGTTGAGAAGCTTTCCTGGGCACCCCCACAAAATTGTTGCCCGATGAGGTATGGCAAAGGGTAAGAAACCTGCCCAAAAGACTAAATACATGACAGAGGTGTAGTCTAAGCTGCAGTGCACTAAACAACTCATTTGAACCCGTGCCTCACTGCACTAACGGAAACATGTTTCACAGAAAATTTCTTGGAATGGTGTCCTAGCATGGAGGACCAAGCAAGGGAGTGGGCGGGGCCATGACGCATAGTACCGTTCTCCCTCTCTCATGATTCTGATCATGTGGTGAGCAAACACCTGAGCATTTCCTGGCGAAGTCATCTTGTGCTAACCCGGAGAAAGATTCTTGTTCCTCCCTTTAGAACTTGAACTTGCAAAAGCTGCACGTTCTGCCTTTAGAATTTGAGGACAAAGAACCTTTCCAACGCTCTAATTATTGTATGTGCTTCAACTGTTGCTCATTTATATGGTATTTTAATTTGCTAAGTTATTCCCCATCTTTATCGGGTGCTTTGCTGGTGGCGGAAGGGGTTGCCTCACATGGACCCTGTATCACAGGTGATCATGTTTACTTTATATGTGAGGAAATAAGGCTTATTGCTGTTTCTGTTTGCTGGGACTGAACTTTTAATTAGCACAAAGCATTTCTTCAGCTATGTTTTACAAAAAGTAAAATATTCGCTCAAGTGCACTTAATTGGAAAGTTTTTCTACATCAGGCATTTTTGTGTGCTCCTGAATCTTTGCTCTCAGTTGTTTACAGGCTGTTTAGACAACAGTTGATCCTCCGGTTTTGCTGTTTGCTTTTAAGAGCACTTCCTTGGGGGTTTCAGAGCAGGAAAAATAGGGTTTTATTTCTGAAAGCAAAAGAAATACCTGTGTATTCATGCTATTCTGATATAGAGTAGCACCACAGATATTAGGTAGCAAAAAAACTCCTAGTGTACAGCTCACAACTGGTTCTGACCTGAAACCAAAGACTGAGCCAATATTTGATAGCCTTGCTTAGAAAAGCTTGCAACAGTGTTAAAGTACTGGTTTTTAAAAATATTTTTAAATGACAGTGCCTTTTGGTCACTGGCATTTTAGAAACACATGATTCCTACCTCGCCTCAGTTAAAGCAATTATGATCTAAAACAAGCATAGAAAACATTTATTTTTAAATATTTCTAACAAGACAAGGGTTACTTAAATCAGTAGCATCATGCAAATTGAATTATTGGAAGGGGAGAAAAGAATTAAAATATGGCTGTTTTACCTTCTCTTTTCCCTTCTCTTCCACATTCCATGTCATGATGAAACATAGCAGGGTGGGCAATATCTCCAGAAGTGTGGAAAGGCAGCTGCAAGCCTATCCGTTGTTGACAAGGAAAAAATAATGATTAGGTAACACCAGGAGCTGCCTCTCCATTCCAGCAGCACTGGGATACGGTCATCTGGTTGCCTCCCACGTCTCGTCAGGGGCCTTGTAACCTCTGTCATGCTGTTCTCTCTTCAGGCATAATTGCTTTGAGCCAGGTCTTTGAGCAGCACATCAAGAACCTCAGAAGCTTGAGCCTCGCTAGGACCTCCTTGAGCCAGAAAGGTATGGAGGCGATGGCTGCAATCCCACCGTGGAGCTAGGGTGGTGCTGTTTTGGGCTGGCAATAGCTCCACAAAGAGAACAGAAATATAAACCTCCTCCATCACTCCAATATAGACATCCTCCATCAGTTAGAATGTAAAGTGTGTATATTTTTGTAGCACCATTTATGATCATCTGCTGTGTGGCTAACTGCATGTATTGGCCTTACTTCCTTCTGTATTGACTCTTTTCCCTCAGTTCAAGGTTAGGGTTCAGGTAATTGCATTAATTTTTAAAATGACACACACTCTGTTTCTCCTGTGTATGGAGAGCTCGTTCAGTGCCTCAGAACCCCCTTAGAGTCTTGGTGTAATTATAGCAAACAGAAACAGAACTTTTTCTGCTTTTTAATACCACTGAGGTACCCACCCCTGCTGCCAAGGCAGGGTGCATAGTCTTCAAGACTGTCCAAGCTATTTTCACACCTGGAACAGAAAATATCACAAATCCTTTCTTGGGAGTGAAAAGGAAATTTAAAAGTAACACTGACCAACCTTTCCTGATAGGCTGCATCACTGCTGAGGTGGCCCTTCCCTCAGCCTATTGGTACAGCCAGTCTTGGTTGCAGCTGCCCCTTTGGAGGGAAAGGCCTGCATGTCCCAGTTTGTTTCTTTATTTATTTTTGGATTTATATCCTGCCTTTTTCCTACAAAGGGCTCAAGGCAGCTTACATCATTCTCCTCCATCCTATCCCCACAACAACAACCCTGTGAGGTAGGTTGGACTGAGAGTCTGTGACTGGCCCAAAGTCACCCAGTTGGCTCCATGGCTGAGCGGGGACTCAAACCCAGATCGTCTGAGTCCCAGTCCCATGCTCTAACCACTACACCACACTAAGTTGTTGGTGTTTAGTAAATTTCTTAGTTGTGCTGGAGCATATAATCCAGTGGTGCCCATCTGCTTGAAAGAATACCTGCCCATTTTCTAGCTTCTGGTTAAGATTTCATTTCCTGGCACTAAATACTGACTTTTACCAGCAATAATTCAAGCTAAGCAAGGCCAGCCTGACAATGAAGAATTTGGCTAGGCTGTGTGTCTGTGTGTGTAAATGTGTCCCTCTCTCTGGAGCTTCACAATAACTTGGCGCCGGCATTCCTTTCAATGCTGTCTTACCGCCTTTCCACGATTCTTCTGTCTTACTAGGAATGGTTGCCCTTCTGCAGTCTCTCGTCTCCAATGAACTATTCAAAACTTCTCTGTGTCACTTGGACCTCTCAGGAAACCCCGGTTGCCTGGCCACTGAAGGTGCAGCCGCAACTGTGAGTATGGACACTCGGGATCCATCTGTAAATATACTTTGCCTCTTGTTCTTCTCAGAGTCAGGCACAGCTTGGGAAGTCCGGGTTTACTGTGCAGCTCCAACACTGCTATCCTGGGATGGCAGCATTTTCCAGATAAGACGGCCAGTTCCCATTAGCTTCCATTCCCTAGAGCACTGATGGCTTGTCTGCAAGGCGTGCCTCCAGGGACTTCGGATGGCTTCACTTCCTATAATGGCCTTGATTTCGTTGCCCGGCTGCTAGGATCTATTTCTAACCATTTTTGTCTTGCCAATCCACCAGCTTTAAGCTGGCTCATTACCCTGTTTGGCTGTCAACCAGTTCAAGCTGTTGTGAACCATCCAGAGAGCTTTGGCTGTTGGGTGGTATAGAAATTAAATAAATAAAGGACTAACCACACACGTGTCCAAGCGAGCTAAAGAGACTCTTTTCCTTGTGGTCCAAGTACAAGCCAGGAGGAACTCGGGCGCTGCAGCTGTTCCTGACTTCCACTCGGCTGGTGCTTCTGCCCCAGACTGGAGTGTTTCCCCAAAGCATATCCATTTCTATTTCATGTACTGTGATCTGCCATATTCAAGCTGGGAGGCAAACACAGGCTTCCTAAACCTGCGTCTGCCTGGTAACATTTGTGGAGGCTGGTGCAACATTTGTGAGGGAGACCCGCTGTGCTGGTTGGATCTTTGAGCTTTTCTTAACCTTGAAATGTTTTTAACCGAGGTGCCGTTGATTGAACTGGGAACCATTTACATGTAAAATGCACGGTCTTGAACAAGTCCAGCTCTTTCTGGTTTTATGCCTCAGACCTATGAAAAGGCCCAATCTTACCGCCTTTCTTCAGCTAGGAAGTCAGGGGACTAACAACATCAGCCTGTGTGGAGTGGTGGTTCGAATATTGGACTGGGACACTGGAAATCTGGGTTCTAGCCCCCACTTGGCCATGGGGCTTCTATGGATGACACTGGCCCAGTTACTCCTTCTCAACCTAGCCTACCTCACAGGGTTGCTGTGAGGACAAAATCGAGTCATGTAAGTCTCGTTGGGTTTACCTCAAGAAAAAGGTAGGATATAAATGCAGTGTAATAGTAATGCTAACCACAAATACAAAAAAAAGGTTTAAAGAATAATGCAGCAAAAAAAATCAGCATGGAGGATAATAGCAGCTCCCCCACCACCACCACCATTTCACCAGCTGCACAGACTTACCAAAGTTACCCAAAGCCTTCTTGAATAGGCACCTCTTCATGAGCTGTCAGAGGACATATAATAACAGGGCCATACACACAAGGGTATCCAATAGTGTCAGGGTCACCGCCGAAAAGGCCCTTCTCATCATCCTTAGGCCCCTATTCATGGGGGAACCGGCAGCAGAACCTCAGAACGGAGTGAGACAATATAGTCCTTACAGTTAATGGATAATCACATGCTGGCATTCTTTGCCATCCCAAGCAATAAATTACAAATACGTTTTATTCAGTTCTGTTGTTGCTTAAACTGAATTGATTTGCATAGACAGCAATTGTGACTGATAAGGCTTTAAATGAGGTTATTTTAGTTTTTGTTTTAGTCGCAATCAGTTTTATAAATATTGTAACATATCGGAGACGTTGATGGTTTGTTTGTGTAACTTATGGGCTGAAGTTACACAAACTTCAGGGGTTGAAAACAAAGCCATGCTCAGTTCAACACGTTGATGCTGTAGGCCAAAATACCTGAAAGGAATGAAGTTGAGAAAGGCTCTTTTAAGGCATCGTAGCCGAAAAGCATCTGGGGCTTTAAAGGTAACAACCTGTACTTTGAATTGAGCTCTTTTAGCAAATAATTATCAGTAAAGATCAAACAAAACCAGAATCCCGTGCAGCAGTCCAGCAGAGGTCTGTTGGACCTGTCGCCTCGCACTTTTCAGGGGCACTCCAGCTCACACTCGTAGCCGCGTTGTGCGTTTCCCTCTCAAGCGGCTGAAGCTCTGCGTCTCTTTCCCAGGCGTTGTTTTCCTTCCTGAGTCAGCCACATGCTTTGGGTCACCTTGATCTCTCTGGGACAGACTGTGCCTTGGATGTGGTGAGCACTGGCAGCTCTTGCTGTGTCTTACTCTCTTTGAACACACCGCGCCGTGTCATTTTCCCACAGAACTGAAGACTCCATATTGCAGGGGAGGGCTGCCACAAGTGCAAGACGTGTTGGGGAAACCCATGAAGCTCTCCTGCACTGAGTCAGACCCTGAGTCTATCTAGCCTTACTCACAGTCACGTCTAATCGGGCGGCTTATTTTATATTGTATTTTTGTATTTTTAATTTAATGTTTATATTTTTTGTAATTTAATATTATAATTATTTTTAATTTATTGTTGTAAGCCGCCCCGAGGCTTCAGCGAATGGGGCGGCATAAAAATGTTTTAATAAATAAATAAATAAATAAATAATTGGTGGCAACTTCCCAAGGCCTCAAGTAGACTTCGTGCCAGCCCCGCTACATGTTTTCCTGTGACTTTTTGCATGTGGAGCTGGTGCTTTGCTGCTGAGCTAACATGCTTTTGCCAAGGGCTCTGGCAGGAGGCCTCCTCTCCTCCCAGTGGCCAGGATGGCTCCACACAGGACTATAGACCAAGACCGAATGGAGCCATCAGGCAGCTTTCCCCAGCCATTTCTTCAGGATGGAAATTGTAGCTCAACGCATCTGGGAGCATCTGAGATTGGGTGTGCCTTGTGTAGTGGGGTGAGATAGTGACCAAAGCTATAGGGGGCAGGCTTATAGCCATAGTAAGGCATGTGTGGGGCTGGCTTCCTGGTACAAGCCCCTTCTCCGAAGTTACACTTTTGTTTAAATAAAAAAGCGAGTCTCTAACCCCCTTATTTGTGCAAGGAGAAACACTGAAACTGAATTCCGCCCAATTACTGCCCCAGAGGTAAAGGTTCTCCTGGGCACTGTGCTCTATAGATTTTATAAAATTACTATGCTTCAATGTAATTCAGCACTTCAAGTCTGTTTGACCCTTTTTCTGTAATTTTCCTTGCCACCCTGCTACAAGCCTGAGTCGTTAGGAAAGGGAAAAGTGTGTGGTGTCCACAGCATAGACAGGGCAGGAAAGGCCCAATCCGATAAGCACCTTCTCCCATATCTGTCAAAGTAGCCCACATGTTGCCTGGATTTGTTGTCCAAGATGTTCCTCTTTCCTGTTGGGAATGAATGGCTGCTTCTGTTACAGCGTGGAGGTTGCTGGGTTTGAAGTGAGGCATTATCTGGTTTCTCCACAATACCCAGTGACCGTTTTCTCCTGTGTTCCCAGCTCTTTGATGCCTTGGCTGCGGGATGCTGCAAAAGCCTGGTCCATCTGAACCTATCCAAGAATGTTTACTCTCGCAAGTATGAACTGGGGAGCATTTCCTTCCCCTTTTTCGACGGGCCACCAGAGGAAGGGAAGCATTATGTGGGCCTTCAGTCACATAGCCTGGCCCAGAAAGCAACAGGGGGAATTAAAGTGAAACACTGAGCTTGTTTTACTCTCTATTTTCAGAGAGTCTTTGTTATTTTGGACAAAAGCATGAAGATGCCTGTGAATGGCACAGAAATTATAGAAGGACCTGCTCTTTGTTACTGGCTCTGTCTCCTCTTATGCATGCTACCCCTGCTGTCCTACCTTTTTATGTCACCGGGGCCCATGTGCCCCAGTTCTGCTCAGCAATCCAAACAGCACTTGAATCCGCCTTTTCCTATGAAACACAGTATTAGCGAATGGCTGCTGAAGATCTATGACAGCCCCCAAAGCAATATCACCTGTTGCTACTTGGAAGGAAAATACACAGATTATGGGAACCAAGGCCACATTTATCATGCACCGATGCTCTTTAGAACAGCAAGCCGTGTGGAAAGGAACCTTGCTTCCTGTAGAAAACGTCACTGGCTCTTATATGGCTAGACAAGCACTGGAGCAGTGACTTTGGTGGATCTCTGTCTCTTCTTTTTCCCGGCAAGGTGCAGTCTCTAGAATCAGGGCCTGCTGGATGGTTGTCCCATTTTTATAACCATTGCCATACAATTTAGCACAGGGCACATTAAAACAGCCAATATTCAGGACTAATTAATAAATTGTGTGCCAGCAAAATACAAGGTATGTGCCCAAAAGGTCTGTTTCTGTAGTAAAAATATACAATATGCACCAGTTCTGTAAAAATTGCTTATTTATCAATTTTACCAATATTTGGAACTTTGTAAGATCTGTGATGTTCTTGGCTATGCGTGTGAACAGCATGTTGGTAGATAGAGATTTATGGATAAGATGCATATTATGTTCTTTATTCAATGTGTTTCTGGGCTAAATAGATAAATTTTCTGCAAGAGGTTGCAAAGTGTTAGCTCAATTAGCCCGTTCTGTATAACCATAACAGTTCCCCATTGCTTTTGATGGGACTTGTAAGACAGTCTGAGGGCCTCCACACACACACACACACACACACACACACACACACACACACACACACACACAGAGAGAGAGAGAGAGAGAGAGAGAGAGAGAGAGAGAGAGAGAGAGAGAGAGAGATTGAAAGCCTGCCTTGCTTTTCAGGAAGAACAGGAATGTTCCTCTTGGGGTCAGCACATTCTTCAGCAAGGCTTCTGCTCTCCAGTACGTTTCCCTGGCTGGAACCAAGCTGCCGTCAGAGGCTTTGAGGTGAGGGGTGGAGGAACTGAAGTCCTGTGAGTGGAGATACGGGGAGAGAAAGCCATTGAGTGAGCCAGAGGCGCTTTGGATCCAAGCTCCCTCTCGGCCATGGGCTGGTGTGCTCGTGCAACCATTACCCTTCTCCGGGGGCCAGTCCCCTAGTTTGCACATGAATGATCTGCATCAGAGAGTTGCAGTGAGGATGCTCGTTTGAGGAGGACTGTAACTCAGGAGCCGGCTTCCAATGTGCCCGGGCCATATTTCTCAGTGCCCAACAAAGTGCCCTGCTCCTCACACTTTTAAAAAAATCAACACATTTTCTTTCCTGAGGCTGGAATTGCTGTGGAATAGATTTCTGTTCATGCTAAAAACTGTGGGTCCAAAGGAGAGATTTAGCGGAGGATCAGCTGCCGCTTGTGCCTTATGCTCCGTCCTTCCGGCAGTTGTTGGTCCTTTGCTATGCCTCCCACGGAAGCCGTTATGCGGTGGCGGCCCAGGAGAGATTCACAAATGTGCCCCTGGCCCAAAAGGGTTACCTGACCCTGATGTCACTCCTGTTTTCCTATGTGCAAGTTGAATATTGCCCTAAATAACTAATAGATGATAAGGGAAACAAGGTCGCTAGGCAAGCACAGCAAGATATCCTCCGCTGGCAGCAAGGACAGGTGGGCTGGGAGTAAAGTTTAGTTGGGGTGAATATCATAGCTCATGTGTAGCTGTGTGGCATCCTGGGCTGCTGGATATGGTGCTGATAGCTACACCCTTATGTGGGGAATAGACGAATTCATGGAATCAGCCACTGTTAGCCATAGCAGCTAAATGGGTCTTTTAGGGCCAAAACAAAAAACAAGACCTCCAGTATGCCTCAGAATGCATATTACTGGGAATTAATAGTATAGGAGAGCTTTGCTTTTACACCCTTCTTGGGGTGTCTGGTTGGCCAGATACAGGATGCTGCACCAGATAATCTTGCAGATTATACTTGCATTTCTAGGGCCCCAGGAAGCAAACTCATAGGGAGGAAAGCAAGGACAGGAGTTCAAATGCTTACGAAAGGGGTGGGCAGGAGTCTGTATGATCTACCTGACTCTCACATGATCCCAGGGACCAGCTTTGCTGTGTGAAGGCATCCTCTGCCAGGACAGCCTTTGCAGGCCGAGGTGTGAGGCTCTCCTCCACCCAGCATCTCAGGCGAGGACCTGGCAGCTCTGCTGAGGACTTGGTGTGAATGGCTGCAGGGTTTTCCTGGCAAGGGGAAACCCACACACGCCAAAAACACCCCCAAACAAATGGGGAACAGGGTAAAGGAGTGTCCCCTTCCCCATACTCTGGCTAAGACAGCTTTGCCTACCTGGCACCTTCCTCCACTGGGGAGGGACTGGGTGGGTAATGCACTAAGTGCACTGCTCCTCTTTCCGGCTGGGAGGGCGAGCAACATTCGAGGAAATGCCGCAGCTGTCTTTGATCACTGGCCCGGGATAGAAGTGGGAGCTCCTGTCCCTGCCAGCCTTCGGCGATTGGGGGTTTTGGGAGGGATCTGATCCACATCAAGCCAGACGTATCCTGTGAGGCATACATTCCCATCCCCGCTTGGATGACATGGTGCAGAACCAGTCTTCACTCATGGCATTTGTTCTCGATCCCATTCTGGTTTCTTAAAGGGCCTGCCTTCAGGGCTTGGCATATAATACCCAGCTGAGCGACCTGCACCTGGACGTCAGTAGCTGTGAGGTAAGGAGTCATCCCGAAAGTGTGTCTGAGGGTTCACGTCCTTGCTGGCCAAGGGACAGAAGTTACACCTGAGGCCTAGGATCAGAAGTTTTGACTGGGGTAAGCCAGCGGAGCATGGGGCAAATTGTCCTGTGAAGAGAGAGGCTAGTGAAAATGCATTACCTATTTTCAGTGAGGGATATGATAGTTCTGCATGCAGGCGGCATCTTTGCATAATGTATCAAAAGAATGTCTTGCTAAAAAGCACAAGCTTGATGCATTAAAAAGGATGCCTACATAAGAAGACTTTAAGGGCAGAAGCGTCGGTTCTCTGGAGTGATGGAGAACAGCCTAGGCTGTAGCTTATCCCATATCTGCAAAGGCTTTACTTGTTTCCCTAAAGGATATTGTAGACATGAGAAAGGTGCAAAGATGGCATGCAAAATTAGCAGGAGGCTAGTGCATTTTCCTTATGAGAAAAGACTGCAACCTTTAAGGGGTTTTTTTAGTTCTGGGAAAAGGTGACTATTTAGTACAATAAGGTACAACTTAGTAGAATTACACATTGTCTATAAAGAAGGGAGAGAGAATTCACCCCAACAGTAGAACTTTTGTTATTCTATGAAGCTGATTGGCTGAACTTTTAGGACAGACAAAAGGAATTCCTATTTTGCACAGCACTTAATTAATATATGGAATTTGCTTGCTTTAAAAGGGAATTAGCTATATTCAAAGACAATAAGGCTGGCAGTGGCTACTAGACATGATGACCTTATGCAGTATCCAGGTTTGGGGGCAGCCGCTGGAAGAAAGAATAGGAGGAGTATTAATGTCTCCATGCCTTCCTTTGGTGCTTCTTAGAGGCATCAGATGAGCCACTGCTGGGAAACAGGGTGGTAGACTAGATGGAACTTTGGTCTGAGCCAAATGTGCTTTCTTTCGCATGATAAAAGCCTTTCCTCCTCTTTTCTTTACAAAGCTGAGATCAGCAGGTGCCCAGGTGATCCAAGATCTGGTTGCAGATGCCAGTTCAATCAGTGACTTGAATTTGTCTGACAATGGTAGGTCTAATGAGTTTCTTTGTTATAACAGTGCATATTTCCTCTTCCTTGGCAATGAGGGAGGCTGCATGCTCTCTGTGGCCTATCATCAGATCTGGCCTTAGGCTAGAATTTGTAGATGTTCCTGCTTCACCTGTTATGTAAACCCATGGTTTATTCAACCCATAGTCAGTTGCCCTATCCAGGGTTTGTCAAACAGCTGATTGAATGCACTACACTTTATTTTCTCAGTCCCTGGGTTGTTTCCTTCCTGTTTTGCCTGCTCCTTCCAAATCAGTAGTTTCCAGCTGCTGGTCAACCAGAGATTTCCTGCCAGTCCACTGGGGTGCGGGGGGATCCCACTTGCCGTGGACTGGTGCAGGAACAGGCTGTGCTCCACCACCTCTTCCTCAGTTGGCATCACATTTGTGGGGGTGCACCAGTGCCACGGGGGGGGGGGGGGATTTTTGTTTCTGCCTCAGTGGTCCCTGAGATGATTATCTTGTTTTTGTCAGTCCCCAGGTGTGGAAAGGTTGAAAACCACTGTTCCAAATGACCCATGGTTGTCAACCCAGGGGCTGTCTTTCTGGGTTGTTTGTGGTTAGTATACCATGGTTTGTTAGTACAGCCATATTCATGTATCACAACAACCCGGCATTTAACAGCCCTATGAATCTTTGTCGGATGTTGAATAAGTGCTCAGCCAATTCATGAGGTAAATGCACACTTGTACTTACAACTTGTACTTACAAGCAAGTCAAGTAGACCTCTGCTTGTTTACTAAAATCTCAGTGCAGGCTATTGTAATGGTTTGCAAGTCCTAACTTCATTCCGCTTCGGAATGATATTGCTTCTTGTGTCTTGCTAAGCATTTCTTGTCATGGAGGCTCTGCCTGTCTGTGATGAGCCAGTCTGGGGACAAGCCCATCCTCCCCACGAGCTGGAAGTTACGTGTGTTCTCAGGCTCCCACCTCAGCTCTCTTTCCTGCAGGGTTTGATTCTGACATGGTGACACTGGTGCTGGCGATCAGCAGAAGCAGATCCGTCAGGCATGTTGCACTAGGGAAGAACTTCAATATCCGATCAAAGTAGGTGCTTAGCACGCAGTTGACCTTAGTCTTTAAATGAGGGTTGATCTGGTGGGCGATCTGGGCTCAGGCTGTAGGTATGTTTGCTTAATTCATTTTATTGTTCACTTCCTTTTTTCAAAAGACAAACCCAAAGTGGCTCACAAGTTAAAAAACAGTAAAAACATTACAATGTCGTATGCATTAGAGAAGTAAAAACCGCCCGAAGTGTTCAAGGATTCAAAAGTGGCAGCAATAAAAATAACAAAAAGCATAGAAAACATAATACTGTAATAGTAACAATGCTCAACAGATTACCATAACCAACAGCACTATATAAAAAAAGTAAAATCTAAAAACAGATCCAAGTAAACCAAAGGCTTCCTGAAACAGCAAGTTTGGGCCAAATACCTAAACAAATGAGATTTGGATTTGGATCAGGATTTTTTTGCAACATTACACAAAGTTAGCACCACCACTGAAAAGGGGCTGCTAATGAGCTGGATAACCCCCAAGCATCATTCTTCAGACCCCTGAAGCTAGGCCTCAGGCGCTGCACGGCACTTCTGCAGGGGCACCCATGGAAGAAGGCACTGCAAGGGCCAAAGCTGCTCGGTCAAAAGCAGCACCTTTCCCTGAGCCCGGAGGAAGACAACCAGTGCAGACCACGTAAGATAGGAGTTGTTCTGTACCAGTTACTCAGGCACAGCTCAGAAACTGGGTGGCAGCATTTTTTTGCTATTTGAAATTTCAGTATGACATTTTCGGTATATATCCACTAAATTATTGTGATGCACCAAAGAGGTGCCCACCAACTAATGATAGGAATCTAGAATTGGGGTTGGAAAATTACTGGCCTTTCTACTTTCCCTTAGGGAGACCCTGGTTGATACTTTGCACCGAATTGTTCAGCTCACGCAGGATGACGACTGTGTAAGTATGGTGTTATAGAAAGACAGCTTCACCATCCACACCTCCCCTCGTTCAGGGCAAATGTCAGCAACTTACATATTTCTGTAAGTCCCTTTTTTCCACATCTCATTAATGCATCCTGCTCTGTGCCTAATCTCCACTAATTTTAGCCTGACCATGAACAGGATGGGGAACCTGGTTGTGTGTCTACAGTCTCTGCGTTCATAGAATGATCTGAGGAGTTCCAAGTGTGTGGGTGTGCACACATGGACATGCATTTGTGTCCACAGATGTATGTGCATGCACATGTGCTGTCCTTCTGAAAACAACCAAGATGGAAAGACTCTTGGGAAGCCCTACGATTCCCTTCCCTGGTTTTATTTCAGTCTGTCAAATCCGTGTCCGTGGCAGAATCTCGCCTGAAATGGGGAAGCAGCATCCTCCTGGACAGCTTGGGAAGTCGGAGCACCTGCCTCGTCGCGCTGGACATCAGTGGCAATGCTATGGGGGACTTTGGTGCCAAGATGCTGGCAAAGGCTCTGTCAGTGAACACAACACTCAGGTGTGCTGGGCTAACTTCTTTCCCCTGCATGTGGTGGGGGGGGTGTGAGTGAGTGAGATTATTTATGCCCAGAAGACCAGGGGTGGAAAACGACTTTCAGCCCAAGTCCCTTTCGGAGCCAATCTCATGGACTTCCTTTCAGTGGTGGGCAGAGCTTGAAGGCAAAAAAATGGTGTCAAAATGCAAACAATACCAGCATACCTTAGCCTAAGCTGCTCCGGGGAGTAATAAAGCCTTTTGTGAGGCATTTCAGCCTTTTAGGATAAGAAAGCAGAGGACGTACAACATGACTGGTAGCTGAGAAAAAGGGTATGGATTACGTGGAAGAAGGTATGGCATTCTGGGGAGGCCTAGAGGCCAGACTGGGAGCCTAGGAGGGACAGATGTGGCCGCTAGGCCTTCGTTCTGTGACCTTGTACATAGCTTTGGATTAGCACAATTTGTACAAGCAGGAAGGAGTCTTGGAGAGCATTGGGTTTGCACCATCCCCGTTTCCTATAGCCCCATTCCCAGTTTTCTATGTAGCTGGGAAAAGGATTTCAAAAGCTTTCAGTTTCACTTTGGTTAACTACAGCTACAGTATGTTAGTTCATCTGCCATGACAATCCCCAGTAAACACCATGTTGCCGTCATGTGCCATCAAGTTGTCTCCAACTTATGGTGATCCTATGAATGAAAGCCCTCCAGAATGCCCTGTTCATGACAACCTGGCTCAGCTCCTGTAAACTCAAGGCTGTGACTTCCTTTATGGAGTTCATCCACCTCGTATTTCCTCTTCTTTTTCTTCTTCTGCCTTCAGCTTTCCCAGGCTGATGGTCTTCTCCAGGGAGACTTGCCTTCTCAGGATGTGTCCAGTGTATGACAGTCTCAGCTTTATAATCTTTGTTTCCAGGGAAAGCTGTTACTTGGTTTGATCCAGGACCGACTAACTATAGTTAATTTCAAACAAGCCAGCTTCAAGTCATGGTTTCTGGGAGAGAGTTGAAAATGATGCATGGTATGGATAAAGTGAAGAAAGAAGGAATTTTTCTTCCTCTCCCATATCTTAAACCTAGAAGCATCCATGAATCTGATTTATAGGAGATTCAGGGCAGATAAACAAACAGCTCATAGTAAACTATGGAATTAACTTCCACGTGATGAAGTAGGGCCCAGTTTGGATGGGTTTAAAGGGGGATTGGACAAACTGATGGAGGAGAAGGTAGTCTAGATAGCTTTATGCTGCCTCCAGCATCAGTCTTTCACTTCAGTTGCTGTGGATCTTGGGCAGGAGGAAGCTGATATATGCTCATTGTGGGGTCCTGTACGCAACTAGTTTGGCACTATGAGAACAGAGTACTGGACTAGGTGAACTGATCCAGCACGACTTTGCTTATGTTCTTAAGCCGGCTTGCCAAAACAAAGCATTTTTAGTGTTAACCACAAACCGGTTCAGATAACAAGAGACATCTCCTGAAAGGGGAGCAGAAAGCTTCAGAACAGCTCTTAATAGTGTGGGAGGAGAAAACGAATGGGGGAGTGGGTGAGCCTGCAGCAGCTCCTTTCTGCTTGGGCACACTGCACTAAACCGTGGGTTTGTGTGACCTGTGAATGTGAAGCTGGAGGGAAATGGTCTTGGGGGAGCAGGTCTGAAGAGAGAGACAGCAGGCACAAACCTTCTCCTTGTGCTCACTGAACTCTTTGTCCTTGCTCTTCTTTTTAGTTCATTAAATATAGAGTTGTGACCATATGCTTGCCGGGATGTCATCTAGTTTGGCCTATGGCCTAAACTTCATGTAGCCCGAACTGCCTGATCGTGCCTAACCTTGGAAGATGAACAGGTCAGGCCTGGTTAGCATTTGGATGGGTGACTCAAGTGTGTAATTCTATGTTTATTGTTGTAAACCACCTGGAAAGCTTCAGGTACCGGTTGTATAGAAATGTTGATGAGGAGGAGGAGGCATTCAGCCTTTCTGAGCATCTAATTTTAGTTATCTTGATACAAAAATTTATGTGTATTTGAAGCTTTGTACTTAAAAAAGATTTTTCCAGAATGTTCTTGGAATGAAAAGGCAGAATACAATATCTTAAATAAAAAGTTAAGATTGTGTTAAATATCCTAAATAAAAAGTTAAATTACACACACACAGTTGTTGCCTGTATATCAGAACCTAACATAACTCCGATTGAGATATCTCCCTTTTCTTAGGACTCTAATTTGGGACAGGAATAACACGACATTGGGTGGATTCTTTGATGTTAGCCGTGCTTTGGAAAGGTGAGTACATTGAGTTTCTTCAACAATGGCCATCTGCTCAAAACTTAATGGAGCAGAGGCATTCATCCTGCAAACTGTACAAATTCTGGTCTCCTCTGGAACTAGGGAGCATGGGTTCAGGCATTCACATTATTTCCATTACTTCTCAGGCAGTACTATTGCCTTACTAAGAAGGTTACCCACAACATCAAAGGCTCACTCAACTGCTCATCTTCAGGTGTGGGATATTTGTTAACATTTTCCAGCAATGCCTTCTGCAGACCAGTCTCTACACAAAAGAATGTAACAAGGCATACATTGGAAGGGCAATATTCAGAGACACAGAAGAGCATTTCAACCTCCCAGGACACTCTGACCTCGTTTGCGTGCAATGAGAAGCCACTGAGGGTGAATTTTCCTGTGGGGCTTCTTGCTGCCTGAATGTGGTGGCCGCCACTCAGGGCGCAGCAAGGAAGTCTTGTTACCTGCCCACCTGGTGAGGGTGGGTTGATAGAACTCATGAGCTGTTTTAAGGCTGTGGGTGCTACAGATGTTAATTAGCTTCTCAATTCCTGGATGCTAATCTTATCGACACTACTATGTGAATAGTAATTGTAACAGTTTTACATGCATTTAATTTAAGCTTTGTCATAATAGCCGTAGTCTGTACTTTTCATATTTCATTTCCCACAAGCCTTGTTTTTTACCATTCTTTTAAAAAATAGGAATAGATACTAGATAGATGTACCTGCCAACTTTGAGTAACCATTTATGCACCCGATGAAGTGAATTCTAATCCAGAAAAGTTTGCACATGGTAATTCCATAGTTTTAAGATACTCAACATTCTCTGCTGTTTTTGCTGCGACACGCTAATGTGGCTCCTCTGCAAATAACCCAGGACATCAGCGCTAGTTTCCAGGCTCTCTGGCCAAGCAGGCCAAAGGTGCTATGAGAAAATGATCCCTCTGAACAGAACCCTCACTGAGGTACCATTTATGGTCAAAGCTGCTCTGGATGCAGTCCTGTTCTGTTATGCTTTGCTTTACTAAGGAGAAAAACAATCCATTCACATCTGTATGCAGTTGTACGGGACCTGAACGTGTCCATCTTGTATGTGGATTTGCCTCTGGAAGTCAGTGCAATGTAGAACCATCTAATGAAAGCAATACCTTTTCCTAGGAATTTTACCCTCAAGACAATGCCCTTGCCCATGTATGATGTGGCCCAGGCTTACCGAAACCATCCAGAGAAAATGGAGGAAGTCGTGCACAAGGTACGAAAAAGGGGAGGGGAGAATTTAGACGGGGAATTTAGACACTTTTGCTTAGCCCTGTGCCTCAGTTTCAATGCCATGGCACAGCTGAAGGACATGTGCAGAATGCATGTGAGCATGGTGCATTTGTAGCAGTATGTTGAGCATATGGTACATTGGGTCTGAGTTAGTGCAGCCAGTTTTTTTGGGAGGGGTGGAAGCTGTGAGGATGCCACGCAGACCTGTGCCTCTTCTCTGTGCTTTAGATACAGTCTTGCCTCACAAGGAATCTAATTCAAGATACCGTGCCCAAAAAGGGATCCCAGTTACAACCAGACACTACAGCCAGCTCTTCTGAACAGGTAAGGATGCTGGACATTCACTTACCTCCATTGCCTTGCGCATCTTCTCCACCTGTCTCTTCCAAGGGGAGTATCAGGAAAGACATATCCTCTGAATCAGGGATGGGAATGCATCCATCCCAGAGTCATAAAAGAGCTAGTAGAGGAACTCTCAGAACCACTGGCTGTTATTGTCAATAAAACGTGGAAAACAGGAGAATGCCAGATGATTGAAGAAGCTAACGTTGTCCCTATCTTCAAAAAAGGGGGAAAAGATGAACCTGGGAACTGCAGACCAGTTAGTCAGACATCAATCTCTGGAAAAATTCTGGAGCAAATTATTTTAAAAAATCTACCTGCAAGCATCTTGAAGAAAATGCAGTGATTAAGAGAAGCCAACATGGATTTATAACAACTAAATCCTGTCAGACTAATTTAATCTCATTTTTTGACTGGGTAACCTCCCAAATCCACAGAGGGAACACTGTGGACATAATCTACCTAGACTTTAGCAAAGCTTTCAACATAGTGCCACATGGCATCCTGATAAGCAAATTAGCAAAAACTGGACTAGATAGAAAAACTATTAGGTGGATGGAAAATTGGCTGCTGAATTGGACACAAAGAGTGCTCATCAATGGCACCTTCTCAAATTGAAGGGAGGTAACTTGTGGGGTGCCACAGGGTTCAGTCCTGGGCCCAGGGCTCTTCAACATCTTATTAATGATTTGGATGAGGAAGTACAGGGAAAGATAATCATATTTGCAGGCGATACAAAACTGGGTGGAATAGCAAACACCCTAGAAGACAGAATGAAGAGCAAGGGCGATCTTGAAAAACTTGAATGCTGGGCTGAAAGCAACAGAATGAGATTCAGTAAGGACAAGTGCCAAGTCCTCCACCTAGGAAAAAGAAACCAAATGCATCAATACAAGATGGGGAATATGTGGTTCAACAGAACTAACAAAGGAAAAGATCTTGGAGTAATTGTGGACAATAGGCTGAACATGAGCCAACAATGTGATGCAGCTGTCAAAAGGGCATATGCTATTTTGGGATGCATTAACGGAAATATTACTTCCATATCATAAAAAGTAGTAGTTCCTCTATACTCCTCAGTAGTCAGACCTCATTTGCAATACTGTGTTCAGTTCTGGGCACCAAGATTCAAGAAGGATGCAGAAAAATTAGAAAGGGTCCATAGGAGGGCAACAAAAATGATCCTGGATTTGGAAACACTGCCCTATGAGGAGAGACTGAGACAACTGGGCTTGTTCAGCCTTGAGAAGAGAAGACTGAGGGGGGACATGATATTCCTCTCTAAGCACCTCAAAGGCTGTCACAAAGAGGAAGGTCAAGATCCCTTCTTGCTGATGCCACAGTGTAGGACATGAAATAATTCAAGTTGCGGCAACCCATATTCAGGCTAGATATCAGGAAAACCTCCTCACTGTCAGAGCATTATGACAGTGGGACCAGCTGCCTGGACAGGTGGTGGGCTCTCCCACACTGGAGAAAATCAAAAAGAACCTGGACAGCCATCTGAGTGGGATGGTGTAACTTGGTGTCCTGCAACGGCAGGGGGTTGGACCTGATGGCCTTCATGGCCCCTTGCAACTCTACTGTTCTATGATCATCATCTTTCAATCCCCTCACATGCTTTCCAAGAATTCTGACTGCATTTTTAGAAGGAAACTCTGGCTGACGTATTTTTGCTATTCTGCTATGCTGCGGTGCCACCTTGTAGCTGTGCAATAGAATAGAAAGCAGAGAAACACACACATACACATGCATGAAGAAAAAAGCGTGTAAAGGAGCTGATCTTAGTCCTGCAAAGAATCCAGAAGCAGAAGCCTTGATAAAATGGTAGGTTAAACATCCAAAGAAAGCAAGCCAGGTTGAGGCTTTGAGACAAAATTCTCAGCATCATGTCTGAGAAAGCCAGCCCTCCCATGGCAGATTTATTCTGATAGCACATTGATAACCCCAGCTTGCTTCTGTTGCAGACAGTGAAGGATGCATGCCAGTCTGTGCAGAAGCATATTGAGATGCTGAACTCTGTGCAAGATGTAGAAGTTAAAGCAGAAATCCTGTGGGCAGAAGAAGCTGTCAAGGATGCAAACCTTTCAATTGGGGTGAGTTCTCCTTCATGTGCGGAAGTTATCACAGGCCTGCCTACCCACCCAGGTGCATCTCTTGTTCTGAAATTCAGCCGTGAGAGCAAACACCTTCATTCCTAACCTGGGTTCGCTTGGTTGCAGCAGTGCCACAAAATCAAGTAATGCTGCCAAATCAGACTTCTAGGCCTCAGTGTCTGAAACTGCCACCTTAATTTAATTACGAATGTGAAAATAATTGTGCTCTTAGAGACGCTTTCTGTATGTACCACTTGGCTCTCAGAAGTGCACTCGCTACCTAGTTATCACATGTATGGTCTTTGTCTATCCAGTGCCCAGTGAGGTTGTGGTGACAGCATGTAGCCCTTGGGAGTGCTCGCCATTGATGGCCTTATCTTCCATGAGTTTGCTTAATCTTCTTTAGAGCCTTTGAAATGTATGACCATCACTGCGTCTTCTGAAGGCAGATTCCGTAGATTAACTGAAGAAATACTTCCTTTTATCGGGCCTAAATCCTCCTCTATTCAGTTTCATTGGATGATCCCAGATTTTGATATTATGAGAGAAGGAAGAGCATTTCTCCATATCATGCACAATTGTGTATAGCTTTAGTGTGTCTGCCCTTGCTTGTATATTTCCTAAGCTAAGAGTGCAGTCCTATCATATTGATTGGCAGACCACCAAACTCAGATGCTATGTGCTAAGATGCTCTTTGCCTTCCCCTCCTCCTGCCCTGCATCTTTGTGGGACAGACTTTTTCATCTGTCAAGCAGCTGTGTTTTGAGGAGGAGGGAAGGAGGTTGGGGAGAACTCTGGAAGACTTGTATCCTGCCCTTTCTAGTCCCTCCTCATCCCTGCCCACCAACACAGCCTTTCCCTCTCTCCACGGCTGTTTTCCTGATTTCAGGTGGTAGCCGACAATTCTTACCATGCTGGCTACAAGGGGACAGAGGGCTGGAGCTGTAATTCTCAGTTCCAACATCAGCTCTGTCTTCAATTTGGAAATCTGAAATATCCTATGGTCTTCAAATGCTGTCTAGGTGCTCTAAGATTACTTCCCCTTCCATCCCAGACATGAGCTTTCCTCAAAAAGGACTTTCGGCATCTTTTCAACTCTCTTGGAGGTGAAGAGATGTCTGCAGGCAGTATGATGTTGGTAGATTTGCTTTCTGATAGTGCCCAACATTTAATTTATTCTTTTCACAGCAGGTACACACTAGCTAAATATTGTTTATCAAGCTATTCCCCACAGCACCAAGTTCTCTTTCTTGGTCAATCACCACCAGCTCAGTCCCCATCGATTTGCATTTGGGATTTTTTTTGCAAACGCACAAGCAAATAGTTCCACACTTGCTTACACCGATCCACATTTGCCCTTGTCATGTCCACTTGGAAAGACCCTTATTTTAACCGACTCAGTAATTAGGTGTCATCAGCAAACGTGTGCATCTCCCTGCTCACTTCTAATTTCAGATCATAGCTGAGCCAGTTAAAATACACGTTCTTATGGAATGCTATGTTTATATTCCACCACAGCAAAAATGGCTGTGTATTCTTACTCTCTGCTTTCTGTTCTTTAACCAGTTTCCATGCAATAAGATTTCTCTCATTATCGCATGACTGCTAAGTTTGCTCAGGGGTCTTTGGTGAGGCATTTTGTCAAAATATTAATCTTATCTTATTAAAATATGTTTTCCTTCTTCAGATAACTCTGGCATTTGCCTTTTCCCTACAGCCCTTAGTCCTCTTTGACTTGCTGTTATGTTTTACTGGATGTCCGTGACCTATTTCCTTCCCATTAGCATTTGGGCAATTGGAAACATTTTCACTTTCCACCTGCTAGGGGTGCTTCAACCCGAACCAAATGCTTTCTAGCTCCTGTCGTCTTTACCCTAAGTTCAGATTAAAAGCTGCTTTGCCACAGTCTGGTGCCATTGTGACCTTTTTGTACTGGCCCAAAATGTTCCCTGATGCCTAACACATCTAAGTCTCTCCTGTTCATTCATGCACTGAGACTCTTCAACTTTGCTTGTGTAACTAGTCCTGTACAGGAAACAGGTGGCATTTTAGAAAATGCTTTAAACTTTGACCTAACAGTGCAGCTTTTGGCTAAATTTTAGGCCCCCTGCTTTAAACAAACAGATGAGGCCCTTTCCAACTCTACTATTCTATGATTCTAAATCTAGCCTAGCCAAGGACGCAATCTAACCTTCTGCGGTTTCCTTCACCATTCCCCTTCCCTGACACTGATCATTCTGTGGTTCCTTGGTTTTTGTGTGGGTTTCCCCTAATTCTCAAAGGCTGAAATGCCTTTCTTTAGTTGCTGGCAAGAGGTGTGTCAAGCTGAGAGCCAGTGTGGTGTAGTGGTGAGGCATGCAGGACAGAGACTGGGTGTCTTGGGGTCAGTCCCAGACTCTCAGGTAACTTATCACACAGGGTTGTTGTTGTGAGGAGGAGAATGATGTAAGCCTTCCTTGAAAATAAAAAGGCAGGGTAGAAATGTAGTGAATAAATCTATCTGTGTCCCGGTCTCGTTCATCAATGGAGGGCAGTCCCAAAGAGCTTTCTGAAAATTGAACTTGGTCCACAGGAATTTGGTGCCCACTGTCTGCCTGGACATAGCTTGCTAGGGACCATAGGAACTACTGTATTTTTCGCTCTATAAGACACACCTAGTTTTTAGAGGAGGAAAGCAAGAAAAAAATATTCTGAATCAAATGGTTTACTAAACTATTTAATAAACTATAACAGAATACAGTAATACCGTATTTCAACCTTGTAAAGTGAACAGCAGTCAACAGTGGCATTAAGAACCATCATCACTGTCATTAACAAAAGAGAGACTTTAAAGTTCGAGCACTCTTCTAGTTTTCGTTGAATCCATAGAAATCATCATCACTAGAGTCAGAATTTATGAAGCTCTGTTGCTCACAATCACTGACATCACTTTCTTAGTCAGTAGTGGAATTACTGAAGGAATCCACAATCTACACCAGTTATACAAGAGCTTCTGCAGACAATTCAATAACAAATCTAAAAAAGCCAGTAATGTCCACGCTGCCCTACTAGTAAATAATAGAAAAAAACTTCTGACAAAAAATGAGATATTGTACGGTAAATCAAACACAGCGGACTAAGTAGCCTTTGAAGAATAAACTTCATACACGAAGGTAATGCTGTTCAAATATCTACTGATCCTAAAAAAAGTGTGTCTGATCAACCAACAGATAACTGATCCATGGAAAGCTTCCTGATAATCACAGGCACATTCCCCATCACTTCCCCATGGGCTTCATTAAAAGACGGGTTGCCATTTGAAAACACACACTGGCCTGCGATTAACAGCTCTCACCTGCGCCAGAGGAGGGGGGCGGAGCAGGGCACACCAAGCGCGTGCCGGCCAGGTGGTGCCACGTGGTGCAGGCGGCCGGCAGCGTCCTGGGCATCGGGCACACACACATTCTCTAAGATGCACAGACATTTCCCCTTACTTTTGAGGGGGGGAAAGTGCGTCTTATAGAGCGAAAAATACGGTAATTTTGCTTTTTTGGAGAAAGGGGGCTTAAAATCATGAATGTATTTCCCCTCTGCCCATTATCCAGGGAAATTTGCTTTGGAATAGGCCACCTGCCCCTCTGAATTACAGTCTTTTTCACAGTTGGACTGTTTTCTAGAAAGGGCATTAGGTCCCTTATGTGTGCCCAGTGTGAAAGTCACTAATCTGGAGTGGAAAGTTAAATGAAATGTGCGGCCTAAGCTAATTGTAGGTTTAACCTTTTAGTTAAAGAAGGACTGGAGCACAATCTGGCTTAAAGCTACTGTGTAACCCCGGGTGTCATGGCACCTGCAGGGACTGCCAGTGGTGCTTGCAAAAGGATCCCCCGCTTTGTGACCATAGAAATGTGAATTAGTTCTATTTCTTCTTAAAATGCATACATGGCCTTGTATGGAATGCATATAACTTTCTAGCAATTATGTGCAGGCTTCAACAAAGACAAACCAAATATCCAAATAAGTATCCATTTGAAAGTGACATCTGTGTACCACCTGTTCCTATTATTATGTTATAAGAGTAAAAGTATTGTAAGATGCTCATTATGGGCGGTGTTGTAAGATCAGTCTTTTAGCTGTCAAAAAGCTGGAGAAAATTTATTTACACTGACTATTCCTTAATTTCCAAGAAGCAGATGAATCATTTAAAGGAGAATGTACATGAATGAAAATTAAAGACTCCTCCAGTTTAAAAATGTATCTACTTAATAACCTTCCTGCAAAAAGAAGCACCTACTGGACATTGTCCAAACATATGTTTCAAAGAAGCATTAGTTGTATTGCACTGCCAACAATTAGCTACATGAGGCAATTCCTGGCTACAGAAATTGCAGCAGCATCCACTAGACCAAGAATGAAAATTTTTGGCGAACGAAACACTGCCACAGCACACAACATGCAGACACGCAAATGGCTTTGAGGCTTTTTTTTGGTGGTGCCAGGAGCAGTTTCTTAAATTCCCAAATGTGCTCATGGGTCTAAAAAGTTTGGCACCCCCAACTTAACCTGTGAAGTGCTCTTAGGCTGCACTCTTTCCCAACAGATTCTGCCCATTTTGCATGAGGCAGGAAGCTCTTCCCAGCAGAGCAGCAGACTTCAGCAGAAACTGGAAAGCCTCGTGGAAGAGATCTGCCAGACCTGCAGCAGGGAGATCCAGGTGGGCCAAGGCTCTGTAGGCACCAGGTAACAGTTGGTGGAAAGACCTCCCTGTTCCTAGGACCACAGGGAGCCCTGCTGGCCGGAACAGATGACACTGGGCTAGATAATGGATGCTCTGGGTTGGCAGCTTCCTATGTTCCAAGGCTATATTCTTCTTATGCCACAAAAGCATAGAATTTGGTATATGGTGCAGAAATGGGCATCCTGTGGAGCCCTGCTTTAATCCATGAAGTAGAAGAAGCAAGCACAAAAACATGCAGGTCTTCCATGCTAGTTGGGGTTGGTGGAAGTTGTAGTCCGACATATGTGGAGTTTGCCAGGTTAGAAAGTGGTGTAGGCGATGTCTGGTGACTCAGCTTCTGAAAATGCATTTATGCTCATGGTGGGGATATGGTGCTTTGGCCCTTTGGCTCAGGGCCATCAGCTCCTGGATACATGATGCAAACGCTTGCAAGTTCTTAAGTGCATGATATATAGATGGAGCCTTAGAGACGGTGGCCCACCCAGCATGTCAATTGGAGGCTCCTGCATGCAGTGCTGGTTCCTGGGCAGAAGGTGCTGTGTTTTGCAGCAGGCAGCCAGTCTGGATGGTTCTCTTGGTTCACATGCGCATCAGCTGTGTGCAGAACGCTTCAGCAGGGCTCCACTGCCTGCCTCCAGAGTCCCCTTGCTGTCATTCCCTTCCCCCCTCCCCCTTCCAAGCAGGAAGAGGGCCGGCAGGGAGAAGGAGAAGGGGCATCAGCCTGCGCTGTTCTTGCCTGCCCCGCTCAACAGTTGTGTGGGGTAGGCAAAGGCCTACGGAGCAGCAGCAACAGTGTGGAGGAGGATGGGCTATTCACAGAGTAGCCCTCGGAGGGCACCGTACTCAAGGTCCCCAAAGACTTTGGGTTGAGACTGCTTGTGCTTTCTTCATAGGCCACTGTGCAAGCCAAACTGGAAGCCACACAGAATCTGTGCCCCAAGATCCTGCAGAAAACTGGCTTTTGGGACCACCTGATCTGCAGCATGCCAGAGAAAGCTGCCCCGGACCAGTTGCTGATGGAGGTGTATGGCAAATTTACGTAGGTGACAGGCATAATCTCTGTGTCTTCAAGCCACACCAAAGTGCTTGTTTGGGTTGGAAGCAACTGCTACAGCCTGGCTGCTGATTCCACAACACTGAACATATAAGCAAAGGAAAAGGGCTTTTCCTGCAGGCTGTGTTTTTCCTTCAGATTTCCGCTTGCCTGGCAACATGTAGAGGAGAGGTGGGCTTCCTTCATCTGTCATGTTCGGTTTTGTGTGAGTACCGTTCTCCCTTGGCAATTTAGCCTCATGTGTGGCAAGAGTCTCGTATACCTTGTCTCTTATGTGGGTCAGCTGAACCGTCTCCATTGAGGCGGGGGGGGAGTGTCTTTCTCCTCCCCCTCCCCATGTTATTGCCTGCTCTGCAGACACTTTATGACAGTAGTCTCTGCTCCCAGGGTATATCCACACAGAGACTGAAACCACTGTAACAGGCATTCCTTCTTCCCAGCGTATTCTAGAAATTATAATTCTTTTGATGGCGAATTTCAACCTATCTCTGTACCAGAATTCCCAGTAAAAAAATATATATAATCTTCATTTTTAAGTTAATATTATGTTACTAATATTTTCTCCAACATCTCATTATTTTTCACATTTTTGTGCCATGTATTTGATATTTTTGTGATATGTATTTGATATCAAAGCCACATTTGATATTTCTGTATCTTTTTTCTACTACCAATTTTTTATTATTTCCTGGATTTTTTGGTGAAAATAGCAGTCCCACTGGATTTCTTCCATATAATCTTGTGCATTTTTGGTTTTTTAAAGTGGTAGACAAACTAATATAGGGCATAAAGGGTTAAATTAAAGGGAAATAACATCCCACTCCACTCACCCATAGGATTCCTGATGCTACTTGGGGTCAAAGGATTAAAGCCACCCCTCCCTCCATATGCCATCATACGAACACTATCAAGGAGAATAATATCATTGGACCTGAATAGGTGGATACTATCGACTAGTTTGGGAACCCCTCCTGGCCATGACAAAAATCTGAATCAGGCCACAGAAGGTCTCCTCACCTGACCCACCGCCACACCTGATGACACCGAGCATTTTGCTTTTGCATGTCTGCCTGCCTGTCTTCTGTTTGACATCTCTGCCTTTTCCTGGAGAAAAGGAGAGGGACAGCCAAGGTGACCAGGTGACGGGCAGCTTCAGTCTCCTGACTCATGCTGAGAGAGGAAGTGATCTAAGCTACCCGTGGAGGGGCAGGGCCACATCTTCCCCTTTGTGTGTGGGTGCAGATGTATGCTTTGCCCCCATCCCACTGCTGGTATGTTGCTTCTGGTTATTTTCCCTGAAGGAATGTGGATTTCCATGGGAGAGGCAAAGGGCTGCCCTCTCCTCATCCTCAGTACTGATATCTGCAAAGTGATGCATGCTGTGAAATGGAGCTTTTTCTTCCTCTCCCATCATACTAGAAGTTGACATGATTCAATTGAATTTTTGATCAGGTCAAGACAAGCAAAAGCAAATACTTCCACACACAATGTGTAATTAATCTATGGATTTTGCTGCCATAGAATGTGGTGGTGGCCACAGGCTTAGGTGGTTTTAAAACAGGATCAAACAAATCAGTTTCAGGAGCAGAACCTCCAGTTTCAGAGGCAGGATGCCCTAGAATCTCAGTTGTGAGGGAATAAACAGTGATTGAGGGCTGTTCATACCTCACTGATAGGCCTTAGAGATGAAGCTGGCTGCATGCTATGGAAAACAAGAAGGTGGACTGGATGGATCCTTGGGTTAATCTAGGCAAATGGTTGTCCACACTGCCTCCACTCCACTCGGGCCACGAGCCAAGCGTCTACTGTTAAGGGGACTTTGCCAGTCCGTTCTTCCCACCTCCTAGATAATAACAGTGCTAAAGTTTAACTGTTACTATTAAAGAGAGCCCATGTGAAGCAGTGCTTAAGAGAGTGTGTCTGGAATTCGGGCAAACGGGTTTCTGGTTCCCGCTCAGCCATGGAGCCAACTGGGTGACTTGGAGCCAGTCCCAGACTCTCAGCCCAACCTACCTCACAGGGTTCTTGTTGTGGGGATATGATTGAGAGCAGCAGCAGGAGAATTATGTAAGCTGCTCTGAGTTTGTTGTATGAAAAAGGTGAGATATGAATCCAATAAATGAATAAAATCTTCATGGGCAGTGGAACCATGCAAGGATCACTCCCTTGCACTGTCCTGTGCTAACAGCCTTGATTTTTCCCTCCTCTTTGATAGGGAGATCCAGCTGTCAGTCACTAAGGCCATGGCCCATGCTATTATTGATAAAACTTTGGAGGAGTTGACCACCATTCAAGGCAAGCTGGTGAGTGCCCCGCAGCAGGCTGTTTCATGGATTGCCTCAGCAGGAGTTTCCTTTCCTTGCTTTGCACTCTCACAGTTCCTGAACGCTCAATTCTGCACGAACCCCAGAATACAGGAAATGTGCTCTGAACTCAGTATTCATCTGTTTGCATTCATGTGAAATGTCAGGATTCCACCTTTCCACACTTGCTGGCTGAAGCAGCTTGCTATATGTGAGTTTGAGACAAGAACAGATATTAATTCATAAGCAAGATAAAAAGTAACCTCAACCCAGCAACAGAATCATCAGCCGTGATGTTAATAAAACAGAAATGAAGGAAAGTTCTCCAGGCTGGCTTGAGACGAGTTGTTTATCTGTTGCTTTGACCATGGGGAAGCACCTCTGCACTTCAACCTGTGCTAGACTGTTTGAAAGGGAACTTGTGGCTGCTAGACTGGGTCTGTAACCAGGGCTTAAGGCACAATCCTATGCATATTTGGACAGTTTAAATGCCCTACAGCTCCTAGCATTCTCCAGCCAGTCGTCGGACCTTTTTCTGCGTAAATATGCATCGCACTGTGCCTTTCGTCTGTCAGATATCCAGTTCCTCAAGGAAATGCAGGAAGAAGTTCAGAATAATGATTCTTTAGAAAGAACCATTATTCATGCCATCTGCCCAGTGTGCTTTGTCAAAATAATGTCTTGGCCCTTCTTAAACCATCTCAGGCTAAGAACCTCTCAAAACGAGCCAAGGAATTGCAGATGGAGAATGCAGACTGGAACATTTTGCAACAGACACAAGGAAACTTCCAGGAAGCTGCCAAAGAAGCCTTCCAAAGCAAGAAGGTCTGCGTTGTTCAAGTCCCAGCGTGTGAGGCATGCAGCAAGTTTACATAGGAGCTGTCTTGGCATTTAATTGCTCTGAACTGGATTTGGGGGCTATGCTTTCGTGCTGCTTCTGTGTCTCCTTCCTTGCCCCATGCACCTCTATAGTCAAAAGAGTTCATTGCACAATCTCTTGTTCTCCCTCCCTGAAGCCAGTCAAAGGCGGAAATAGCATAGTGGAGATACATGCTTGATCATATGAGAGCCCTGCAGAATCAGGTGAAAGCTCAGCTTCCTATTACCCTCAGTGTCTAACAGGTACCTTTGGGAAAGCCACAAGGGGGGCCTGAATTGTTGCCCCTCCCCCCCCCCCACACACACTGGGGCTCAGAAGCCTCCACAAGCCCATGTCTTGTGCATCCAAACACCCAAAGGGGCAGAGTTGGGGGATGTTTTGTAGGAAGAACAACTGCTTTTACATTTCAGGTGGTTTCTCTTGAGGAATCTCCGAAATGTTGAATCCTGCTTTACAACGGTGGGCATGGGGACATCTTGACAGTGATAATGCCCTCAGCTGGCAAGGCTTTTGAAAGTGTGTGGGAGGAAATGGCTCCTGATCTGTAACTGACATCTGCAAAATCATGCTTGCCAACCTAGTTTAAAACGAGAATTGCATCACTAGATCTTGCTATTGTATGCTTGCTCCTTGGATGCTGGAGATCCACTTGCCAGTTTCTGCATATTGATCAACTCCAAATAGATTTCCATCTTGTCTTTTGGGGATTTCTGGGGGCATATTTGCACCATAGGCTTAACCCTTACTTTAATAGCCATTCCTTTATTCCATCATACTCAGAAAAAACTTCCAGGTTCCTTACCAGATTAAAATTTGCAGGAGTTTTTGAGTGAAGGGTGTAAACCTCCTCTGGTTCCTTCCTAAAGGAAGAAAGCCTGGGTTAAAAATGTAATTTAATAGCAAGTGTGATGATGTTATTTATTATTGTTGGTGTAAAATAGAGATATGCTTGTAATGGGTTCTTCAGTTGGTGGGTTAGGACCCACTTCTGAGTCACAACCTGCTCTAGGGTTGGACTCAGTGGCCTTATAGGCCCCTTCCAACTCTGCTGTTCTATGATTCTATGTAGGTGAATCATAGCAGCACTACCACTGTACAAGTAGATATTCCAGAAGGGATGAAGTGGGTCTTCATCCCTTCCAGAAGAATATTCCAGAAGAAGTGGGTCTTCCAACGCATGCTTGGTTAAAGGGGATTCCTGAATCAGACCGAAGGCTGCTGTAAATGAAAACCATAGCTCCATCTTAGTAGCGGGCCAGCCTCCTCTTCCAAATGAGCCAGCTTTGTTGACGTACCTCCCTCTCAATTTTGCATTATTTCAGAAGACTGCCTCCAAACTGCACTTACAGTATCATTTCCTTTCTCCACAGTACAAGATCGCTGCCCGATGGAAGCCTGACTACTCCACAAGCCATCAGCCAACAGTTGGTCTAAACAGTAAGGTTTACTCAGTGCTTGCTTGCTTTCTTTCTTTCTTTCTTTCTTTATTTATTTATTTATTTATTTATTTATTTGGCGTTTTTCTATGCCGTCCCAGTCGCATAAGCCTCAGGATGGCTTCCAACATAATAAATAAACAATCATACAAATAAAATAATGTGAATCATTAGTGAATAGCATCAGTGAGCCCCTATTCTAAAAGCCGCAATGCTGTGAAGCATTTTAGGAGAATGCGAAAGGATACACTGAAAGCCCATAACATGTAAGGACACTTATATGCTTATAATTCCAATTTATAAGAGTTGGGACTGACTTTGGCATCTTGTTAAGTGTGCACTTGATAGCAACCATTGTGTAATGTGTCAAATGGACCAAATCCATAAAGAATCAAATTGAGTGAACCTTAACTACACTAAAGTCACATTGACACTTATGGGAATACATGAGACATGACTAACTTGTTCTGCTGATTCCAATGTGACTTAAGCAAGATTTTATTTGGATTTGGATGGATGTACTTTGATTCCTATATACTTCCATCTGAAGACAGTTTGCACATTGCCGTGTCTCCATAGAAGTATGTTTCCCTAACACAGTTCTCTATACTCTGGCTGTAATGTCGGGCATGGCATAAACTACCTAAAGCCATTGGTCTGTAAACAACTGTGTGAGAACAAGTTAGGAATAAATGACAGAAATGCACCACCACCTCCTAAATTTCCCATGACCAACTTTGTATTGTAAAATCCCCACCACTTATCCCTTCTCCTTCTTCAGCCACTCTAGGAAGCAAGAGAATGAGGGGGCCCGGCTCAGTGTTAGGTTGCCTGCTTTGCATTCAGAAGGTCCCAGATGCAAACCCTGCCAGCTCTCCCCTGAAGTGAGAGCGCCACTGGGCTGGATGGACAGGCATTCTGACCCAGGCTGCTTGCTCTGCTACGAAGAGGGGAGGGTGATATGTGGGTAAAGGCAGCATTGTGACTGGGATGGAGGCAGCAGCAGGGAGGATGGAGGAAACTCAGGTCTCACGTGCCCCTGTGATGGACCGAAGAGCAGCAGCTCTGGCTCAGTGAGGGGTGCAACAGGAAGCGACCGCGGAGGCAGCATTATAAGAACTGCTTGCTCTTCACATGTGAGTGGGTGCGTGCTCCCTTGGCGCATTTGCAAAGGGGGCTTTGGCACTCTGCTGCCGGATCCCTGCCTTCACGAGGAAAGAAAGCAGACAGACATCGGCGTGATCAGGCTCTGCAGAAAACCACCCCCCTCTCCCCCACCCCCGCCTTCTCTAGATTTCCAGATTGGAAAGGAAAGTGAATCTGGAGCAGCTCCACCGTCAGTCCCTCCGAGTAGGAGCTAGCCAGGAAGCAACACTCAAGCTGCGTTACTCCGCAGCTCCCCAGCTAGAGGTGCATGCACGACCAGGGCTGTGGGCTGCATGAGATCAGCCCCAGTCAGAGACGCATCAGGCGCTCCGGTCCTCCTCCTCCTCCCCCCCCCCGACACAAGCCAGGCTCTCCCCATTGGCACGCGGGGCCCCCAGCCCCTGTGCAGCAGCGGAGCTGAGCCTGCCTTGTCCACTCGGCCGCCTGCCATGTAACAGCTCTGCCTCCGTGACGGGAGAGGTTGCTGTGCGGCATCGTGGCAGCCCGCGGTCCTCCTGGCCAACCCCAAGGATCGCTCGTTCGCTCGCTCGCTCGCTCCATCTATTGCTCTCTCTCCCGCTCCATCCCCTCCTCCCCCACTGCCCCTCCTCCCGCTTCTCCCTTTCAGGTCTTTTGGAACTCGATTTTAAGGTAGAGGCAGAAGATAACAAGATTGGGACTCCCCAGGCTGAGCTGTCACTCAGCCGTGCCTCCACGAAGTCACGCCCTGCCTCCACAAAGGATGCTGAGGCTGGGAGCAGGCTGCTTCCCCGCACGGCGCCCACATCCGCACAATCCCTTATGGACCTGCCGATTGCAGGAGAGAAATTGGAGCATTACACTCGAGACAGGCCCAGGCCCAACCGCAGGAACAGGCAGCCCCCCAGCAAGCCCAATGTAAGAGCCCCTGTTCTTTGTGTGTGTGTGTGTGTGTGTGTGTGTACTGCCGCCGCTGTCGTCGCTTCTGCGGATGCACAAGGCTTGGGTTTTGCCTGTGGGTGGTGTGTGAGCGATGGGCAAATGTCTTACTGGGTGTTTATTGCAGCCCTGGTAGAGGAAATGAACAGAGCGGCAGCTGCCTGATTATGCGCTTGTCGGCCGGGCACTGGCCGCTGCTGCTGCTGCTGCGTAGAGGACAAGGTTGTTTATATAGGAGCAAATGCATTAAATGTATGAGGCTGGGGACTGGAGGCAGATCTCCGCTGCTTGTGTTTATTTCCTGTGTACTGTAGGGGCTGCCCAGTCTGGAAAAACTGCAGTCTGGGGGGAGCCTGTGTCAACCCCTCTGTGTGCCTGCTCGCATTTGTTTTCTTGCGATGTGTTTACAATCTTTCAAGCGTTCATGCAGGAACAAACTTGCAGTGCTGCATGGACCATCTACCTGCCTGAAGAGTTATTTTATTTCTGTTAACTATTCGCTGCTTATTTATCCCAAGGATCCAGTGGCCTCATCCATGCCAAGTAAGGCCTCTGCCCTTTGAACATTGGGGTTTTGACTTGATTTGTTTTTCCAGGTGAAGGAGGGTGAGGGAAGATATGAGATGCCCTTTCATCAGAAAACAGCCCTTTATAGAATTACAGTTTAGCCTCTGGCCTGAACTAGAAACTCAAATGTTAATAATAATTATAACTTTGTGGTGCAGCCAAGATATATATTTGAGGATTAAAGGAAAATAAATGTTTACCCCAGCTGTGTGTGTGTGTGTGTGTGTGTGTGTGTGTGTGAGAGAGAGAGAGAGAGAGAGAGAGAGAGAGAGAGAGAGAGAGAGAGAGGCCTTGAGCAATAAGTACCAAGATTTTATGGGTGGGCGGGTGATGGATGGATGATGGATAGACAGATAGATGCCTCAGGTGGATAGTGGAGTTCAGTGGCCCAGCAAAGGTGCTTTATCTTATTATCTGTTTAATCAGCAACATGGCCCTGAAGGCCGAAAGCCATTTCCAACTGCTACTGCTTAAAAAATTGTGCAGCCAGCAGGGTGATTTCTCCGTGTGTGTAGTGAATGCATCCTCTGATTAGGCATGATTACAGTCAACTAAGTGCTTCAGACTCTTCAATATGTAGGTTGAACCAGGCAAGTGTTGTGATCTCACTCTCTAATGATTGGCATTTATGCAATTGTAGGGGGCATGAATAGAGAGGTCAAAGGTCTTTATTTGGTACCTTCTCCTTTTCCCCTACAACGAATTTATCCCCTGCGATTAAGTCAGTGGGTGAAATAGGCAGCTTTCATTCATTCCAGAAGCAACAGGGGAAACAGACTCAAAAAAGGACCACCAAAGGACTTTAGCTACTTTCTTTGAACAATTAGGTGCTTTCTCAAGGTGATAGACCCTTTCCTCCCTTGCCTGCATCCCACTCCCTAATTTAGGAATGCAAGAAAGGCTTTTAAGTGCTTAACTGTCTTCCATACATTCTCTTAGCAATACTTACAACAGCCTTAGAAGATAGGCCTGTATTATTATCTGCATATTGCATGAAGTTTAAGTTGGGTAGGCTGAGAATAAGAACTTGTAGCTCATCTATGACCATTGAGTGAGTTTCCATGGCCAAGCAAGGAGATTGCTCCAGTCTGCTATACCACCGAGCTGCTATACTGTGATAAAGATTTGACCAGTCCAAAGCTCCATCCAGTCCTGCACTCCAAACTCATAGTAGGTTGGAATGATCATAAAAAATCAGAGCTAGAAAATTGCATCTAGACCTCTTTAGAGTTTGACAGAACAAACAAAAGCTGCTATTCTAAGCACAAGCCCCACTGAAATCAATAGGACTATGTTACTTCTGAGTAAGCATGCATTAGATCATTGCTGCAATTCATACAACTTCCAAGGATTGATATATTCAGCCGCAGGATTTCTGTCTATATACATGGAGGCTGGGTTCAGAAAACACAATAACCTACACTCAGGGGCTGATTATAGGTTGTCATTGAATTGTAGCTTGTTCCTGAAACATGGGTTATTGTGCTGCCCCACCCAGGTTGTGTTAAGAAGCCATGGTTTGTTAATCACAAAAAAAATCACTAAACCCTGGGTTATCTAGTAGGCTGTTCCAAGTCTAACAAACCATGGTTTGCTAGCATGGTTGAGTTTAATCACCAAGATAAGCCACAGTTCAATAATAACCCTCACTCAATGTGTACACAACCCCTGAGTGTTGTTTACCATGCTGTCTGAACCCAGTCAGAGTATGCCTACTGTTCACAGTACAACCCAGTTGTAAATGACCCTCTTAACAAACTCCTGTGCAGCCTTCCCCAACCTAACACACTCCGGAGATGTTGACAATTCCATACTCCTGCAGGCAGCACACCTGAGTGTACCTGGAGTAGGGAAGGGGCTGTCCACTCTATCTTCTGACAGCTGTCCTGCCAAAGAGACTGTTTTTATGGGACTTTGCCCTTGAAGCCCTGATCAGATCCTCCCGCAAACATATGGAAAATGTTGCTGCCTTGCTGTGTCTGGGTGAATTTGCACAGGGATGGCTGGCTTTAGGCTTGCAGGATCTGCTTTAGTTTTTCCTAGAACCCCAAGATCCACTCCAAGTCTGAGCCAGAGCAAATTGCATGGAGGTCACAATCCTCATGCATGTGTATCTGTGCACATATAAATACATGTTTAAGATCTCACACATCCATTCAGATTCCTTTGTGCCGTGACAAGCTCTAAAAAGGGCAGTGGTTCTTTCTGATTAATTACAGTAAGTGCCACGTCCTGGCTTGGTTTGACACTCAAAGGAAGGTGGTTCTGTGGCAGGCAAAGGGATCACATCGGGTAAAGCACAGTCAGCCCCAGCAGAGCAGGGTCACCTCAAGGTAAGGAATTGTCAAGACCTAGACAGCATTCTGTGCAGAGCTGTTAGTTATCCCAGGAAGGGACTGCAGCCAACAGAGGCCTCAAGAAGCCTGGCAGGGCCAGGGTTTTAGAGGCTGCACCCCTGCTGGATGCTTCAAAGGGCCAGCTGTTTCTGCAGGCACAGCTGAGGAACAGGAGAAGCCATACAGGAGCTGGCTGCAGAGGCTGGCTCTGAGGGCTGGGGGGGGGGGGGGTGCACCCTCAAACCTAGAAGGCTGAGGAGTCTCCTTCCCTGAAATACAGCTCATGGGACTCAGAACCTCCTCAGGATGCCACTGAGTCTGAGCATCGGACAATTAAAGCTGCATCCCAACGCATGAAGAAACATGTGTGCTTAGGTGTGTATATTGGGGATAGAGGGGAATGCATCAGTGTTGATGCATTGATGGGGCTTGCTGTATTCCTTTCTCATGATCTCTCCCCTTGCCAGTTCTGGAAGCAAAGCTTAATAATTGAACCCAGGTCCGTTCCATTAAGCTTACTGCAAGTAATATTAGGACTTATGCACACTTTAAATATATGGAATTCTTGCCAAGGCATGAAGTGTGGCCTCTGGTACATTTTAACAGGAATAAATGGCTTCATGGAGGAGAGCTTTCTGAATAGTGCATCACCTATATGTCACACGGGGTCCCTAGTATTTACAGGCAGTATATCCGATGCTGTGTCCTGATTTGTGGGTGGTAGTGGTGGTCTTACTGGGTAGGCTGCTCTCTGGGTTCCCTAAACCTCACCCCCATTGCTCACGAACTTGCCTTCTCCCTCTGGGCTCAGTCCCTACCATTCCTTGGGGGGAGAACATGCAGAAAATGAGGAGGAGGAGGAGGAGCAGAGCCTGAGGGGGACCCCTTCTGCGGTGTGGGCCTGCCCTGGTGATGTGATACGGGGAGTGGGCAGTAGGATGACTATCTGGCGTCACTTTCCCAAGGGCATTTGCTTGGCTGCTGCTGGAAGCAGAGGGCTGAGCTAGATGATTCAGAACTGGAATTGTTAACGTTTCTTAGATGCATATACTTGGAAGCAAGACCACATGCCTCTGAGAAACCAGAAGCCTCATGAGCATCCCTGGCTGGAGCACATTTCCGCCTGCCCTGCTTCTTTCAGCTTGGCAGCTGATCATGCATTAACTTCCGTGTGTGCCTGCGTATCTATAGTCTTTTTAGCAATGTGAGGGAAATGTAATTACAGCTTGGATTATCAAGAGGGGAAAGATCTTGTTGCCCCTGACACCTCACCTGGCTTCAGAAGTGGAGGCAATGGGGTAAGTTGGGTGATGGAGCTAGTAAGGTTGTTGATAGGTCCTCATAAAAGTCATTTTTAGTAGAAATAGTTTGAGGGAACTGTTTGTAGTAACAAGTGTGCTAGCTGGGCTGTGCTGTACTTTGCATGGCTTATTGGCTCTTGTGCAGATTAATGGGCATTGCTGGCCATGCTCTTAAACTGCCACAGCTCCTTTCAATGGAGGGTTGGCAAGGAACCGCTGAAGCATCGTTGAAGCCTATGCATGAGAGTGAGGGCAGGAGAATGAATAACAGCCAGAGCTTATCCTGTGGCTCTAAAGGCACTCGCCCTGTGCTTGAGCAGTACAAGTTTCTCCTGAATAAATGCAGTGGGAAGCCTGCTTTTGAGTGGCGATATGGGGAGATGCATGGTGCATACTAACCTGTCAGATTAAGCCTTCGGGACCGAAACCGTGGCTCTTTGGCCCGTCTGAACCCACTGAATCCCCTGCCATTTCTACAGTAAGAGGACTAACTAGATTAACTATTTAATGCAGGAGTCACTGGCATTGTTGCAAAGTGGCCTATCTGGAAGGGTCAGCCAAGCTGAATGAAGAAGCCAAGAGCTGTGTAGGGTGACCCATCCAGAGGCTCAGTAGAACTCCATTGGGGACAAGCCTCTGACAGGCCACAATACGTGGCAGATGGGCTGTGTCAGGATGTGCCTCGATAACCCCTCCCTCTCATCTTACTCATTCTCTCTCTACTTTCCCTCTTTTTGTGCCAAATATGCCAAGTCAAAACACTGGTCCTTCTAGC